AAAATATATATTATATATTTTTTGCGGGATTAATGACAGTCACTTATAAAGCTTTTTTTATTGTTCCCTAGAGTCATTCACCACTGAAAAAGCCTCCTCTGTTGGGATGGAGCAGAGCAGCATATTGCACTTCACTGTCAGGGGAACACCCAGGCAACGGGAGGTTATTGAGAACTTTAGATAATGTATAAACTTTTCAAAGTAGGTAAATACCCAATTCTTTGTCTCATGCACTCTCAATATGAAAATAACAAAGCCATTTTTTCCCTACTGGGATTTGAAGCTATTGCATCAACCTTGACATTATTCCTTATACCAGCCTACTGCAGAAATGCAGACTGCAAAGGAGTTGGGGAAATGCCTTACGCTTGTTTGGTTGTGCAATTATTGTAGGCTTAGCTGTACTCCTTGCTCATGGAGAGCTTTTTGGCTGCAGATGATTTCCTGGAGAACTATCTGACTTGTTCGTAAGCAGGGAGGGACCTGTACATGCGTGTATATATGTATATGTTAAAAATAGAGCTTTGAATCTGTATAGTAAGAGCTACAGCTAGAGGGATGAGAGGGAAGATCCCTCTCTGCTTCTTCATATTGCCCTTGGTATCTCTCACTGCTAGTTGAGGTGCTTGATTTGCTTTAGTACAGATTTCAGTGTCCTACCTTTCATCTTTAGCTAGGGCTTGTGGTTATGACCTGTGGCTTAATCTAGTTTGGTTTGAACTGGTAAGGCAGAGGTTCTCAATTACGCAGTTTTGTATGGAAGTTAATTCAGTAATGTTGGATTTCTTGATTGTTGGTTTGTTGAGGGTTTTTTTAAAGACAGAGATCATAAGACTACTGCAGAAAAATGTCCTTATTTGCCTTGTTTGACAATCTTGCTGCAGTAGTCAAGTTGTGTGACCAGGAGTGGAAAGGGTCTCTGTGTAGTGTAGGAACAGCTTATTTCCCTGTGGGACACTAGTCTTTCATTTTGACTGATGTACCTATTGTAGTTCTGCTCAAACCACTCATCTGCAATCTGTACTCGGAAGGATCAGTTCTCCTCCGTTAGCCACTATTTCCTGCAGTTAAGGTACTCTAGTTGGTTTTTTTGCCTGTGAGGAGTCATGAAGTCGTATGACTTGTGGAAGGAGAAGAGATAACAATAAGCACCCATCTGTTGTTCTTTTCCATCCCTTCGGGATGTCCGGGTGTCCCTGGTTAGAATTTGTCTCTAGATAAGATATATGGGGAGGTGTCACTGTGGGGCAGTCAGGCCAGAAAACAATAGCGGGTTGAGTCCAAAAAAACAAGATTGATCAGTAAGTACATCTTTGTTGTCAATCAGGGGCAGAGCTGCTCTGTGAAGGTCAAGGCTGGAGCTGTACCCCACATCCCTTCAGCTTCCTCCTCTGATAAACTTCTAGGAGAGCCATCACACTTGCTCTTCAGAAAGCGTGGGTTCAGAAGCTCCACTGCGAGGAAGGCTGCAAGAGCCACAGCGTGTGCAAGGGCTTTCAAGCCTGTGTTACTTGAATGGTAACTGTTCCTTGGCTGAGTGGGATGTTCCAGTACTTGTTTTTCTGTATCTGCTTCATCATCCAGTTGCAGCCAGTGTCTTCTATGGGTGAGTAAAGAGGCATTGCCTTCAAACTTATTTCTGTTTGTCATCTTTAAGAATCATGCTGAGCCTTGATATTCTTAGGTGAAAGACTAGAAGACGTGACAAATTTTCTTTGAAGGTGATGTGAAATTCTTTCCAATTGGAAAGATCTTTCTGTCACAGAGCATGAAGCCTCCCATATTGAGAGAATCTGTACCGCCAAAGCACTGTGGGATTTTCCTCTCCCTGCAGAGGAGAGACTCTAGGAGTAGATATTATGCTACTTTATCACCTTCTTCTTTGACAAATCTTAACTGAATTTAGTGTCATAATGCAGTGCTGCTCATTTCATTGCTTAGTTGTGCCAAAGCAGAGACCTCCAGTTGCACAATACACACAGAATTAATCTCTCTGCAGAATGGTGGCCTTACGAATGCTTATTAGATTGATTTGTCATCCAATATATATACTAGCATGTCAGCTAGAAAACTAATGATATCATCAAGATTACAAATTGAAAAGCTTTACTTCATAGCTAATGCTTGTCAGGCTGAATTGCTCAGACCATGCAAGAAGTGTTGGGGAGGAAATAAATTGGGCTAAGAAAAATGAAAAATGGGGAGCTGGAGACAGTTATACATATTGTGCAAAAACCCCCATGCTTTTGTGTTTGGGGAGAAGAGAGGAGAGGGTGATTGCTTCTATATTTCTGTGGATTTTTTTCTCAAGAACTCAAGTTAGTTTTCAGTAAACTGCTGCCAAAGACTGCCTGGTGTCTGCAGGGAGGGTGGCTTGGGGCAATGCTGGCAGTCCAAGAGTGGCTATGAGGACTGAGTGTTCAAAAGAGCACTGTCTGCTTTTTCTGCTTGTTTGCCTCCCCCTCACTCCTGCCTGAAGCTTTCAGAGAAATCAAATACGTGAGGGTATGCTACCCCATTCCACTGAAATGCCTTCTTCCAGCTCCCTCTGTTCATCTCAGTGGATTTTGTCTTTAAATGATCTTCTGAATGTTTAGGAGACAATGTGATCTCCCTATATGAGTGGTTTTAGAGTCTGTCTACAAAGGATATTTCATGAAGTTAATTATACTATATGAAAGCTAATGAGAGTGTGTGTATTTTTGGTACTGCCCAGCTGGGAAGCTGACAGGGCATTTCTCACTTCACCTCATTTGGCTTTTAACAAAACAAAAACCTTTTAATCTTAGTCAATGGCTCACCATAAGGCCATGCCAAATCACCTTGTGGAAACCAAGGGAGTTACACTGAGGGAAGCCCAGAGGAAGTTATGTTTAGTTGTGTGCAAAGAAAAGGCAGGACCTATTCTTTCCTGTTGCGAGAAGGCAAACAAGCCTTTGGAGGATGGGATTCAACAGAGCTGCTGCTGTCTGTGGCTAAGGGGAGGCAAGGAGAGGCAGATGAAATAGAGAACTCATATGGGATTGCCTGGTGAATCTCATCAGAGATTTTCTGCTGCATTCGCTGCTCTGCTGCTCAGGAGAAACAGGCTGCTTACGGTGGGAGTGAATCTGCTTCTCTCTATATCTTATGAATTATGGCACTAGAGATTCCCTTTGTAACCCAGGTCTGCACCCCCTGCGCCAGCTTGCAGCTCTGCAGCACTCACATGACTATGGCAACTGCTTCTGCTTTTTATGCTGGATTGGATGCCAAACAAAATGTGTCTATGGCTGAGGAAGGTATAAGGATGTTTGACAAAAGAGATTTGTGAGGAGGTACAAGATAGCATGTCAGTGGGACAGATACTTACAGGAGATGCAGCTAAATAAGGATGACTTGAAGTGCATTCTCTGAAGCACTTGTAGTTTCCACTTTATAAAGTCAGTGAAGCAAAAAAATAATGAACCAAGAAGGTTTGTCTGCTTCTAGAGCATTCTAATGGAAACAATATAATGTTTCCTCCCTACCCATTTGCATCACCTTACTGTTTAAACAAATCAGAGAAAGCAATTTTAGAACTTAAAAAGAAATGTGATGTGGAAAGTAGAGGGTATTCCAGTCTGAGATGCATTTAATCAGAATGATTGGTTTTATTAGCCTAATTCTAGGAAATGGTAATCAATTTTCCTTACTCAAGACAGGATTAGCAGTCATTTTGCTTAATAGGAAATAATCGGGGATAAGTAGTGCTTAATCAGTTATTAAATGTAAGTCAAAATGACGCCTCTGGACTTTTATTGAGGAAGCTGCCAAATCAGGGTTAATTAGGAGAAGACTGAAAATGTAATGAACACTTCAATTTTTTGGGTTTTTTTTCCCCTGTATGGTATTATGTTTTAATTGTTTGCTGAAGGTTCGGAAAGGCCTCTGAAAGGAACACAGTCCTTGAGCACTGCATGAACAGAGGTGCATGTACCAGGAGGTCCATGTGTTTATATCTTTCTCTCTCAAACACTCCACTCACAAACATTTCACCTCCAGTAGGGATCAGGAGGATTTGTGGGCTTGTGAGGAGCACATTCCTCAGAAGTTCCTGATTCATGCTCTCTAGATCTTAAGATAAAAAATAAAAAGATACGGGGAAGCTGTTTCAGATGCAGGGAGGCTGCAACATCAGAGAAATCCACAATAGATATTGTGAATCATAGAGGTGGTTAGTATTTGGCAGAGAGGGAAGCAGGGGACAGTTTCTGAAACCAGGACATATCTAAGTGGATATTCAAATACAGGGAGCTGCCACCTCTCTCTCTCTTGCCCCAGAGCAGAATTTTGCAGAGTGCATGGTTTTGAGGTACAGCTCTTTCTACACTCCTCAGCATGTATGTACATAACTATAGGAGAGACAGTGGAGAACAAAACCCTAGGTAAATGGAGCAGGGTGTCTTTCTCCTACCTCACTTCTCTAAGCAGATACTTGTGGTTAGAGACAACCTGCTGAGCTGTAGCTGAACTTCATTGTGACCTGGGAGAGCACTTCTTATGTCTAGCTGTTTAAAATTGTACCCTGAAATGAGTAGGAGCTGATAAAATATGCTTAGAGATGCTTACAGTTATACAGAAGTCTAATGAAATATTTTTGTTCTGCATACCTTAAACGTAGCATTCCTATTGCATATCTTGCAGTTCACGTTTTAATTGATGTTTTGCATGGTGATCTCTGCCTTGTGGCTATGGTAACTCAACTGTGAGGGCTTACACCAGGTATGGGTGGATTTTGAGAGAGGTTGCATAATCTGTTTGAAGTCTGGTCCTTTTCTCTGAGGCATGTGGGACAGTTACTAGTCACTTCAGGAGGGGATTGCAGATGCTCAGTTAGTTCTTGAAGAAAAGGTGGATATCCTAGGCTAGATCCAGTGCTCCCAGGATATATTTCCTATGGCAAAATTACTACCTGGACCTCAGATTTGCCTTTTTTCTTCTTTTTTCCCACTGTAATCTACAGCAGCTAAACAGCAAGTCAGACTGTTGCATAATGTTGTAAGAGCTCTGTTAATTTACTTTTTCTTCCAAGACATTTAAGCCGAGCTGTCAGAATTTTCCATGAGGCAATTAGTTAGGTGGTATCACTGTTTGTCCCTGGGGATCTTTATCTATCACAATGATTCTGTTAAGTCAGGAATAGAAAAAGAAATTGCAATAATTCCTTGCAATTATCAGTCATCAACTTGATTTGATGTCTACCGGATGTTCTCTCTTGTCTCTTGCTGCATGTCTCAGCCCTGGACCCCTGCTCTGCCTATATCAGCCTGAATGAGCCCTGGAGGAACACAGATCATCAGATAAATGGTTCCCACGGCCAGCCGACATGCGACAGTCAAATTGACGGGGAGTGGTATCGTTTCACCGGCATGGCTGGCGATGCTATGCCTACCTTCTGCATCCCAGAGAACCACTGTGGCACCCATGCTCCCATCTGGCTCAATGGCAGCCACCCGCGAGAGTCAGATGGCATCGTCCCACGCCAGGCTTGTGCCAGCTTCAATGGGAACTGCTGCCTTTGGAATACCACGATTGACGTCAAGGCGTGTCCGGGCGGGTACTACGTGTATCACTTAATCAGGCCTAGTGTTTGTTTCCATGCATACTGTGGGCGTAAGTAACTGCTGAGATCACTTTTCTGAAACCCCTTGGTCCCTGTGATACGGGAGAGGTAGTGAGCATCCATATACCTGAGAGAGGTGGTGACTGGTTTCTGGCTTTCTCACCCAAAAGTGTGTCAGGTGGTGCAGTGCAGATGGTGGCCTGTCTATACGAGATCAATCAGACAGCTTCACCTCTGAATTCTAGCCTTTGCTCAGCTAGCAGAAATCTTCCATGTCTGACCTGGCTGCAGTGATTTAATGCTCTCTGTGGACCCTGTGGTTTGTGCTGGCATGCTACCAAAGCCAACATTTGCATCTCTGACTTACAGTAATTAAACTAAATTGTTTCTTATCAGCTTCAGCAGTTCAGCTTTCCTAATGTGGGCTAGGTCTGTAACTGATGGACTAGAAACAGGGCTTGAAGCTGTCGATACTGGTACAGTATTTCTGTTGCATGCTCAGTGGTTTGTACTGACAACATTCTTGTCATGCCCTAGATTTTTATGACATCTGTGATGTGGTGGATTGCCAGGGCTCCTGCCTGGACACCAGTGATTGCACGTGTTCCCTTGGGACGACACTAGGACCTGATGGACAGACATGTCTTGGTAAGGGTGGAAACAACTTGTGTCAGTTACTGGTGTTATCTTTCTCCTTTGTTTCATTGCTCACATTTCAATCCACTGTCTTACATAGCAGTACAAAAAAGAAAAAGTATTCTGGAGGAGTTTCTTCCTCTTGCTGCCATGAACAGGTCTTTGAGTCTGTAAATTGTTCCCAGTCTCTCTTTGCAGGGTGAGATACAACATCCATTGACATTCTGGTGACCCTGGAGCTACACAGGCTACATTTGCTTTCTGCATGGTTCAGCTGCTGAAGGCAGCAGCTCTGCTGACAGTATTAGAGTCTCTGCAAGAGCACAGTACAGTCTCATTGGTATTCGGGAACAGCTGTGCAGACTGTCATTAGAGACTTCCTTTCTCCTGCCCTGTTGAATGTCTCTTTCCTCCAAGAAAAGTTTCACTGGCTGGCAAAGGGCTAGTGAAAGCTTCACCATGCTTTTAGTGCTCTTGCAGGGCATTGTCCAGGGCCTGGGGCTTGAGGACAGCTAAAGTGGTTTCAGGCAGCATAACAAGGTGGTATTCAGGGACTTGGCACTTGGTGGCTGCACTGGCAGAGACTAGCATGACCAGGAGGAAGGTGGATGGCTGTGAGAGCAGTGCAGAGAACATGAGCTTGAGGGATTTGTGAGGGAATCCCCATGCACCTTTGAGGAGAGGACAGCTGTGGTTGTCTGTGTGGTACTAGGAGGAGAGCACTTGGACTGTGAGGTCTTAGGAAGAAGATGGTCTGTGAGGCAATGTAAGGGGCTGTTGGATTGCTGCAGAGCCACACCAATGGACAGGAAGAGGTGACACGGAGGGAGAAAGGAGTGCTAGTGTTCACGGAAAGTGGGGTCTCATCTTTATCTTTGTGGCCTAATTTGATTAAGAAGTTGAAAGAAGAATTAGTCTAGGAGGCTATGTGGCAGGTCACTTTCTTCCATACAGACTACAGCTGACAAAGCAGGCATAAGTAGTTTCTTTCTTCACATTCCTCATGTCTGTGGGCACCAGGGTAGGGGTCACAGTCATTACAATTTGTGAAGAGAGCAGCCTGGCCTTGCTGCAGATTTATGCTTGCTCACACTGATTCTTCAGAACGGTTTTTCTTAAGCTGCTCCACATCTCTGCAGCTGAGTGGCTGAGTTAGCTCTCAGCTAATTAAAAGCATTTAATTGGCTGCTTCTGTATAAGACTTCCAGTCCAGAAGTGCCCTTGACAAGCACCAGCACTCAATAAATCTGTGCCAGGCTCACAGGAAAGGATTTCCTGCAGTAGAGAAGCATGCAGGAGTCCTGAGCCTGTGTACCTGTGCTGCAGCTGCCTTCATCTCCACATGGCCAGGCCAAGCAGGATTTCTGCACTACTGCTTCTCTTCATGATAAATAATCAGATGGCACAACACCTCAGTTGTAATAATCACACTGGTTTACCTACCTGCAGCCTCTCTTGTTGTATGGCTCACTCATCTTTCTCATGACTTTCTGTTGTGCGTTGGCTGTGAACCTCCCTGTGCTAGGATGGCTTCTCTTCAGTACATTGTATGTTTTGAATCCCAGAGTAGAACTGCTGATCCTGAGTTATGTTTTCATTTGCAAACTTACTTAGAGGTTAGGTTAGGTCTTAGACTTTCTGTCATGGATCCACCATTCTGCTGTGTTCTAGAACTTGGAGGACCAGCAAGGTGAATTGCTGGTTACAGCCCTTGACCAAGCCAAGTTTTAGGGCCTTCTAACAGCATCTCTATGTCTTTGCCAGTTGCCCTTTCACTCTTCACTCTCTGTTTTGAGGCAACTTTAGTTTTATTGTTAGAAGTGAAAATGTGGAGCCTGTCACATTTGTGAAAAGGGACCCTGTCTGTGTGTGTGTCCTGGACATACTTCCTGCCTCCCAAACCAGGGTACCAGCCATTTCTTTGGCTAAAAATATTCAATCTGTATTGGTTGAGGAAGGAGATACCACCACTAGCTGCAAACTGCCAGTACTATGTATGTGTGGGACCAGTTACACCTAAGAAAGCTTATCTCTGACCTGTCCCTTAAATGGTATTTTTCTTTTTTCTTGGTTTTAAAGCTTCTGACGTCTAGTAAATGGTAACTTCTGTTTTAGTGAAACCTCATGTGAACCTTGATCAATAACCTCAGCGTTCTGACCTGCCTGAGAGAAATTGTTAGTTTTATGGCTCAACAATAGCAATGACTGTCCCTTCCTCTCTATTTGATTCACTTTTGCACGCAGAGATTAAATCAGGTTGAAGAATGAGAGTCTTGGAGAACAAAGTACCTTCCAAAAAAAAAAAAAATGCAGAGAGACATACAGAAACTTTAGCCTTTAAAACAGAAAATAAGGGGAAGTTTTCAGAGCTTTACCAAGAGATTCAAAAGCATCTTCTGTGTTTTTATTTCAACAAATACCCTCAACACCCTAGAGGGCTCTACTGTAGAGCTGAATGCAGCCAGCTCAGAAACGTGACACAGATATTATATGGGTATATTGCTTTAGGTTATAAAAACTCAGTCCAGGCCTATTAAAAGGTTATTCTGCAACCTTTCTCCAGAGACTGCTCCAGAAAACAGGATGTCAGCTCAGGCACTTCTCTTTCCTCTGAACTGGAGAGGTAGGAGCCATAGCTCTGTGGAAGGCTGTAAAGGAGCAGGGGAAGGACTGCTGTGGTGGAGCAGTGAGGAGCTGAATCCCCAGAGGGAGTATCTCAGAACTCAGGTCTTTGCTCATCTTGAGTACAGAGTAAGCAGCTAATGGCTATGGTGGTCTGTGAGGCACCAGCACCCAAGTTAGGTCTCACCACAGTGAGCTGACAGTTCTGTTCTGCAAGAAGACCTGAGCTGCCTGGAGCTGCGGCAAGAAGGCGAAATAATGAAATTTCTCATGACCTGTGTTTTCTTGGGAAAGTTTCACGGGGTTCATTAAAATGTGTTGGTTTGATTTCAGCTTTGTTTATATGTTCACAGCTGTTTTTCATCTTTGTGTCTCTGTTTTGAAATAAGGGGTGAATAGTTTAAAATTGCTGTAGCATAGCTGGTTATGTGTAGCAGTAGCAGGTGTGATACAGTAATAGGGTTTATTTTGGACCAGTTCTAATTATCACCTAGTTTTACTATGCAGTGAAGTCATGTTAGCTCTATTTTAATGTCTTTGTGAGTGGAGAATAGTTTAGGGTGACGAGATAAGTGCAAACACAAACTCCCCAGCATGCGGAGCCAGTTTGGAAGTTTCCCAGTGGGACTGTGTCCATCTTCACTCTGAAATGGCTATTGTGTGCATGTGGTGTTTCCTTCCCAGTCTGCTTAGTTCCTCAGGTAGACACAGCATAGCATAACACTCTGCTGCTGTCAGTAGGCAGTACTTTTTAGCATTTTAGTGGGATTGACCATCTATGTGGCCCAGATCCAGATTATGAGGCCAGAAAAGCCAGTCCATGAGCTGACCAGCACTCTCATGTAGCAGCCCCTTTTTTGGCAGCTGTGTGTTTACCAGGGGTATGTTATGACACTGATTTCTTTTTTTCAGATGAAAATGAATGTGAACAGAACAACGGAGGCTGCAGTGAATTTTGTGTTAACCTGAAGAACTCCTACCGCTGTGAGTGTGGGATTGGGCGCACGCTGGGAAGTGATGGGAAAACCTGTGAAGGTGAGGTTTCAGCTATCATAGTCTCCTGGAAATAATATAAATCATTCCCCTTCACTTGCAGCACTAGTTCTCTGTAGCTGTTTGCAGCTGGGATTAAATGTCACTCATATCACTTCTGTGCTTCCCAGTGGTGTTGTTGCTGAAATACCCTTCTAATCAAGCAAAGAGAAGTCTCCTTGTTGTTCTCCCTGCCTTGTGTATTTCTATTAGGATTTGCTTGTATTTATCTCTAGGAGGGGAGAGGCAGCAGTGGGTCTGAAGGTTTGATTGTACAGACAGAACTAGTTATTGCTGGAGATGCTGGGATTTGTCTCTGGAGACTTATATGAGAGTTGTGCAGGGACAGCTTTAGCATTGCTGGTTTTTGACAGCTAGCATTAGGGGTAAATGTCATTACATTAGATAAGAGCATGAGGATAGGATCACTTAACCTCCCAGGGTACAGACTGAGAAGAGGGGATGCTAGTCTGTAGGCAGAAGCTAGATTTGAGAACAGGCATGCGTTTTGTTTGATTTTTGTAAGTGGTTAGTTGTGGGCTCTGCTGTGTGCAGCTGCTATAGTTACCTCCCAGTGGTGGCACAGCCAGGCTGAAAACCCTTGATAAGTTTAGTATCTTAGCAGGGACTTGAAGACCAAATTGTAGGTTTCATCTGTTGTTATTAACAATGTACAACCATCTTTGAGTTAATAGGAAAACCCAGCAAAAAATGACATGTGCCTGATGTTTTCTGTGGTCAGCTGTAAGGAGCACTGTGCTCCCTCACAGGCAAAGCTGCTGCATTGTATGTTCATGGATACTGTGGGGCCTTAGACAAGAATAATAGCTTATAGATGTGCCTCACTTCTGAGCTACCTGATTGCCAGAATTGAATATATCTACAGTCTGCATGCAACCTTACATTAGCTGCTGTGTGGCAGGCATCCATGGTGCAGGGAGAGAGAGGGATTGCCATTGTATTTTTGGGCTGGACTCCAGCCTTCTTTGTAGTTCGTTGACAAATGCTCCAAGCTGCAGTTTTTGTCCCTGTTTTCCCCCTCTTTGATAACAAAGCATATTTCATTTCACTTCTCTGAAAATTGCCTCTCTGAGCTCTATTAATAAAACATCGCTCATCCAGAGAATGACACTTCCCTGGTGAAAGCTGCTGTGCAGAGTGCTCCTTAAGTATTTGTTACATTGGTTGGGGCCAAAAGTGATATGTGGGCTTTGTCCCTTCCACACCCAGCACTGAGCTGGTGGGGTGTCATGTAAATCAGCTGTGCTATGTGGCAGTTTCTATTCCTTAGCACTGCACTCTTCTATCAGGGCTGTGCTTGGAAACTTGTTTGTTTCTGCTCTTCTCAAATTTGTATTTTAGGGCCTTTGATATATCATTTAACTTCCCCTTCTGTAAGAAGGATGGTGCTTTTCACAAGTTTTGGCATTGCTGCTGGGGATTTTTACAATCTTGTTAGTGAGTTTTATTTCTAAGGATATGCCCTGAGCTTTGTGAACCATTAGAGTACGTGATTTACTTGTGAGCCACCTCACAGCTGTTGCTAAAAATAACAAATGTAAGAGATTTATCTCTATTATATGAGCTAGTGAAGCTTAGTAAGGTTAAGAGTTTCTCAAAAGTTCCATTTTAATGCTTTTTACCCACTACTTTGACTCACATGGAGAGTTGTTGTTTTTCATGCAATCTATAGGGCCAAGTATGGGATTTCCATTCTTTCCTTTACATTTCAGTGAAAACCACACAATCATTTCTGATGGCTTAGGGAGAAATATTTTGTATTTATGATTTATTTACACTACGTGTACTATTGTTCTACTGAGAATATGTAGCAGTATTCATTCAAAAAGTTAAAGAGAATATCAAGCAGTGAAGGTTTTGGTTTTCTTTAAATGGTGATACTCTGTTATTTTCTTTATAATAGAAAGCCAACAACAACTGAAAATGGCCTTACTTGCCTTAGTTTTTCAAATCTTCAGAATTTATTTGGCTGACCTTTCAGGCTATTTTCTGTTCAGGTGCAACAATCCTCTGAGGAACTGGGTTTTCATGTAAACATATTCCTATGCACTACAGCTGCAGAAAAGACATGACAAATCCTCCAATTAGCTGTGCTGGCATCTCTCCTCTGCACTTTAGAACTAGAGAGAATTAGGAGGGGAATCGACCTTACACTGTGAACTTGTGTCAATCTATCACAAACTAGCAAAATTCCTGCTAAACAAACTCCTACAAGCAGAGTTTCATCCTCAGCCTACAAAAGGGATGCAGGAACCCAGTACACTCACCTCCATAACAGCTGGGAAACCCAGATGCAACAAGCACATCATCTTCTCTCTGGTATTCCTGATGGGAGTAGGAGCTGGCTACCTGTGAGTCTGTTCTCCCAAGAACTTCCCCTGCAAATCTCAGGGCTTTGATTCTGGTGCTAATGAAGGGAGTGAGTATGGTTCCACATGGCAGAAGTTTTAAGAGGATTTTCCTCCCACCCTTTTGAAGTAAGAAACAACATTAAAAAAATTTAGTTTAAGAGGATGTCTCAGAAGTTAGAAAAATACAAGCTGAAGATTACCCGTTCAGCTGCCTTATGTATGCCAGTTATAGCATGCGATTTATTTTGGTAAGCTTTTTCATAGAATTCCTTGTTTACTTTATGGTGAAATGAGAAACACGGGAAATTTTTAAATTAAAAATAGGTTTTCACCACATTTTCTTGGAAGCAAGCTCTCACTGTGCTGTTGCCTTTGAGTTCTGTGTTGGTCATGCTGTTTGTTAGTCAGTCAGGAGTTTATGTTGGGGGCCTGTGTAGCTGCCACACAACTGTCTGAGGAGCAGTGTGTGCTGATTTTCCTTTCGTTTGCAGAAATTGAAGGCTGTCACAATAACAATGGAGGCTGCAGCCATACCTGTATTGAAGTGGAAGACACGTACCAATGTGAATGTCCAAGGGGACTTGTTCTGTCAGAAGACAACCACACTTGCCAAGGTAGGTCAGCAAAATCTTCCCAACAGCCTCTGTCCCCTGAATGCCAGAAGTATGTCTGAGGGAACTTTTCTTCTTGTTTTTGTTGTGTTCCCTTAGTCTGACCTTTCCAGTTTAGTTAGTGGAGCTCTGTAATTAATGACAGACCATCTAAAACTGAGAGCCTGCAGATATTGCTCTTTTTACCAGGCAGGAGAACAGACACAGGACCCAGCTGGGTGCATCCTGAATCACAGGTGGTTTTGGCAGTGTTCACTTACAGTTAAGATTGCTTAACATCTCCCATTATATTACTGTGCTTCAGCTGTGTATGCCTTTGACAGATTTATGCCATCAGAATTGAAACTTTTCATGCTTCAAACTGGGCTTTTAAAATTTCAGCTGAAGTGCTTCAGTCCCTTCCAAGAATGGGGTGAAAAAGAGAGGGTTTTTTTGCCCAAGTGTCTTGATAACCATTCCAGTAAGTATTCCTGTGTCTTGAAGCAGAGTACTAGTACTGATACTGGGTGTTTTTGCTGTCTTTTGGAAAAGTGGCTAAGGCAGCATCTGAAAATTGACTGCTGCTTTTGCTGCGCAAAGCCAAGGGCAGTGCTACCCTTGGGAGACCTTCCACCTGAATTTTGCTCCATTCCTTTATGCAGGGAGTCCTTCTCACTTGCACCTATAGCATGCAGTTTTAATAAACATGTTCCCTGTTTTGGTTTGCAAGAGATGAGTGAGATTTCCTCTGCAAATACATCCAGGCTCCCAGGGGTCAATTTAGCTCTACAGCAGTGAGTACAGGGAGCAGAGGATCAGGGAGAAGTTACTGAGGACTTTCAGAGTTGAGCAGAGGGTCTATAGCTCCTCGTGCAATGACTTCTTACAATCCAGGACTTGCACCCAGGATTCTTTCGGGTCTCATAATCCCACAGCTAGCTGAGCTCCTTAGATGCTGAGAGCATCGAGATGCCTGTGTGTCTTACAGAGAAGATGTCTACTATGATCCACTGATAAAAGGACATTCAGTCAAAATTGCATGTTAAGGAGAGCTGTGTGGGCATGTGAAAGACAGGTAATGCTCTCTGGTGGGCCTTATCTGCCTTGCCTGGCCACTTCTCAGACCTGTCAGGCTCAGCACAAAGCTGGAGAAGGTATGCTACTGCCCTGGTAGAGACAGACCTCCAAGCTCTCTGCTTGTGTTCTGCCTTGGTGGGCTCATGAAGAACATGTGTGGTTGCTTCCAGACATTTGCATGGGAATTTGCTAATGGGCTAGACTTGGGCCATAGCCAGGGCAGGATCTAAAAATGCAACAAAAGGAAGCTTGTCATAGGCTAATCCACTTGGGTTTCAGATAATACCAATGAGCTGGTGTTACCTGGTGTGCTCAGAACTTCCTGTAATCTGATGTGTTACGAAGTGCACAGGCATGAGAGGAACAGATCCAGACTTCATGGGGGCCAACAGGGCAGGCATGCCTTAGAGAGGAAGTTGGAGTGGTTCTACTTGATAAAATGTCTGCTTTTTAGTCTTTTAAGAAACACAGGGCACTGTTTTCAGGGGTGAGCACTCGCACTTGGGATTCAGGAGTATTGCTCCAGCAGACCAAGGTGGGGAGGAGGAGATGAGGATTTTCAAGAGCCATGATTATACTTACTGATTAAAGGTCTGACTGATGGATAAGAGTCGGAAAAGAGTGATGTTTTTCAACCCTGGCTCCCTGAAGCAACCCCTGCAGGGTTAAAAGGCCATGCATTTCCCAGCCAGTGTTTCTTCTTCTTCTGGGGCTGCTAAAGAGAGCAGCAGCAATGCCAGGTGCCAGGCTGGGGCTCAGGATACAGCATCTCATAAAGTGAAACTGCTTGTTCTTTTGCATTTCATGAATTTAAGTCCCCACGCAGTGGTTTGCAATTTCGAGAAGATGTGACAGAATATATCTGGAACTGCATCACACGATTTTTTATGGCATCTAATCAGGTTTGTAGTTGTACAATTAACAGTGCGGGGCAGGCACAGTTGCCTGAAGCAATTGGATCTACAGCCTGACAACCCTCCTCTGCACTGTCTCTACATTCAGAACAAATATTAGTAATCCTCCACAAAAATCACAGTTTTGGCTACAATGTTCCCACAAAGGTACCAGCCAATGAAATACTTGGAATTTTGCAGATCATCCTAGTACCCCACCTCTTTCTGAAGTGCAGTGGTGAAATGCTCCTTCTCCCTCTCCTGTGCCCAAGCCTTGTGTTCAGCTAAGCAGGGTACAATGCTGTAGTTGATTTGGGGTTTGCTAGCAGTGGTTCAAGGATCCCCAGCATCAGAGAGCCTGTTCCACTGAGCAGACTTGTGCAAAAAGATAATCTCTGCTCCAAGCAGCTGTTCTTTGAAAGGCCAAGGAGGGAACTGAAGGCTGGACAAGGAACACGATGCCAACAAAAGCAGACAGTAAAATGAGTGTTGGACTTGCCACAGACGCTTCCTACCAGCGTCAGAGTACCGCAGGCATTGGTGCAAAGCAGAGCTTAAAGTGGTAATGAGGAGGCTTTCCTAGTACTTATAGATGCTCTTGGGTGTTTGACGGTGAATAAATGAAATGTTTGACAGGTGAAGACTGGCTGAGGCTCTCAGGAGGTTTGCAGCTTGGGGTGAGCCCAGGTCAGGGATGCAAGAGATGGATGCTGACATCAAGTCAGGAGGGTGCAGTGCTCTGAATAGATGAAAGAAGTTGTAAATGAAATTAATTACCCTTGGCACCCAGGGTAACTAATTTCTGTTGGGCGTCTCAGTCCTGGCAGTCAGGACCCCATCACTTGCCTGGGAATAACATGCCTGCATATAGCTACGGCTACCTTTCCAGTTCTTTTTCAGTTCCCCCTATGATGTTGTTGGCAGTATCTGTTGGGAAAATCAGGCCTGCTTAGAGTGAATCACACTGATGAATGCAGTCTCTGCTTGCAGCATTACTGTTAAATTGGTAGAACTGAAGCACTGTTCTCAGTATTGATTACTTCTCTGTATACAAATGTTTAGGGTGGTTTGAATTACATTACCAGTTACGCCAAGATGGTTAGTGTAAGGAGTTTCCCAGAGCATTTTCCTAAATAGCGAAGAGTTGGCTTGAATGAAAAGTGAGTCTGCTTACAGGTTTCATTCACTTGTTTCTGTGCCCAGGTGGTGAAGTGCATGCAGGCGACTCCTGTAATGCCAGAGCAGAGGTTTAATGGGTGTCTCTTCTTACCTCCCCTTTGTGCCAATCAAAGACAGTTAGAAACAGAGATAGCCTGAACCAAATTGGTCCTGAACTTTGGAGCATTGCAGTTGGGATCCAAACTGTCTTGCCCTGAATTACACCTTTATAAAAGCATTGCATTATCTTATTCATCAAGTCACTGGAACAGTGAAACTTTAAATCCAAGTTGAGACAACCAGGTCCCCAAAGGATTTTCATCTCTCTCTGCATTGCACTGTGTTCTTAAAAGTCCCTTTGTCTCCTTGTGAGCTTTGCCACTTGATGTGCTCGGTTATTCCCACCTGCCTTTTACTGTGTATAGAGGAAAAATGAAGGTAATTCTGTAGCTTTCTGTTCCAACCCAGCAATTTCATTATGAGAGCATATTGCTTTGGGCACACTGCATACATTTTAGTATTTAACCTTGAGAAGATCAACTTCTAATAAAAAATACTCCCTGCAGGTACATAGTAGCCATTACAAATACCTCAGTTGGGACAGGACAATTTTTTTAAAGAAGGTGAAAGGTATGTTGTAGTTGTGTGCCTTGTATCCAAGATCCGGAATCACGGATCATATAATTAATGATCAAAATTAAGGGAAGACAGATCATATGAATGTCAGGATTGGGACTGTAATTAATTTAAGGAAAATGCTTGGGTAACTAGTATATTTGCAGAAAGTTTTGTCATGTGATTTTAAAATATGATACATGGAAATTCTGCAGGGGGGTTGTTCTTCTGGATGAGAAGAGACTAGAATATATGTACCACTACACTTGTCCTCTATCTAACTGAATAGATATGTGTGCACCTGAGAAATATATATAGCAATTACTTTTTTAAATGAAGATTATTCCCTCTTCTTTCTTTTTTCATTTTGCCCATTGTCTACATTTTCTCCCACTTCTTCTGAATGGAATTTTAATTTTTAAAAGTTCACATGGAGATCTGTATTAAAATTCAGACTGTGGAAGGAGGTGGAACGAGTGAGCTAATGGGTTTGTTTGTCAGAGCTGGGTTTATTGCTTATAGAAGTATTATTACAGCACTTTGAGGTGCTTCCAGTTTAGCTCAGCATCTATATGGAATTACTCTGCCTTGTTTTGACCTGTTGTAGGTTTGATGTAAAATCTGATTAAGGGTCTTTAAAAATGGCTTTGCCTGGGGTATTGTGAATTTGATATCCATATCTGCACAGCTAAGTTTCTGCCACAAGTTAAGCAGTCATCTTCATTGCCTTTTGTCTCATCACTGTGCCAGGAGGATATGGGGCAGTGGTAGCCTAGAAGTTTGGTGCAGTGTAGGTAGTTAGATTACTATGGTAAGATAGTAACCATAAACACAGCATACAGTCCCCCTTTTTTGCCCAATAATAATTGGTATAGCCTTTTCCCAGCTCTCTGGAAGATTTGTAGTGCAGACTGTTATTCTGGGGACTTTTCTTGCAGTTCCAGTGCTGTGCAAGTCCAGCTCTATTGAGGTGAACATCCCAAAGGACCTGGTTGGAGGCCTGGACCTTTCCCTCATCAACACTTCATGTGCAAAGGATTATCCAATGGCACTCACGTCAACATCCATTTCTCTTTGAAGTCCTGTGGCACTGTTGTAGACGTATGTATACCTACTGCTATCCTGTCTTTTGGGATCTCTCAGATTTGGGGACTTGGTTGTGGTTTACTTGGGGAATAAACTTAGCTGTACCATCAGAGCAGTTTCCTGTATTGCCACGCAGCTGGCCTCAGACTAGACCTGGGGTCACATCCCAAAGTAGGAGAGCTTGTTCCATCTCCTCTCAAGAGGCGTGCATCTGTCAGCATATGTACAACTTTTTGCTCACCTGTTCCTTCACAGAGGCAGCTTCGCCAGCATTCCAGTGCAGAAAGTTTAAGTGGTGTCTCTTTTCACCCTCCTCTTGAGATAGAGTCTGGCCCCTCGATAATGTTTCAAAGGTTTAGAATGGCAACCAGTCAGGAACCAGAGAGTTCATCTTGGAAGGCAGCCAGCAATTGGAAGTGAATTCCTGTGCTTCATGCAGGAGTACAGTGCATCAAAGTTGGCAGAAAAGCTGACAGACACCCTTATTTCGTAGGTGAGGATGAACCTACATTCTGGTTGCAGTGTATGAATTCACAAGCTGTACTTTCAGTGGCTAGATTATGACTGAGTTTCTGGAACAAGGTAAACTCAGTTGCTAGTCTGAACTCGGAGAGGTCTTTCTCAATGATCTGCTCTTTCCCTTAAACTCCTTTCTTTGCTGCAGGTTATAAATGATAAAATCATTGCCACCAATCTGGTGACTGGCTTGCCAAAGCAGACGCCAGGAAGCAATGGGGACATCATTGTCCGCACCAGCAAGCTGCTGATCCCGGTGACCTGTGAGTTCCCACGCCGGTACACCATCTCTGAAGGTTATGTGCCCAACCTCAAGAACTCTCCCTTGGAAATCATGAGCCGCAACCAGGGCATCTTTCCCTTCACTCTTGAAATCTTCAAAGACAAAGACTTTGATGAACCCTACAGGGGTGCTCTTCCCACCCTTAAGCTTCGGGACTCTCTGTACTTCGGGATTGAACCCTTGGTACATGTCAACGGACTAGAGACACTGGTAGAGAGCTGCTTTGCCACTCCCACCTCAAAAATCGACGAGATCCTGAAGTACTACCTGATTCAAGATGGGTGAGTTCACTGTTCCCTCTTTTGCTGGCTATTGGACGGGAATTGGCAGTGGGGCTAAGTTGCGTTGCCTGTGTGATGCAACTTAGGAAACACCATCGCTTCTTCACAGCAGCCTATCTGCTGTGTTCCTAGCAATAAGCAGCCAGGCCTTTCAATTCTCAGTCTGAAACCACTCGTCCCATCAAAAGTAACTGGGAGAAACAGTGAGGCAGTGAAGGAGGTTACTCCAAGTGCAGCCTTTATAGCACGTATTTCCCTCTAGCTAGCTTTGTAGATAATTGAGTTGGCTTCTGTAGAAAAGATATCCTTCCTGATGTCGTCTCTCTGCCAGCCTACTGAGTGCCAAACCAATCAGCAGAACCCCCCAATGGCTGGGTGCCACTGCTACCCAGCTGCCACAGCAACTGGAGCAAGCTTCTTGATTTTTTCCATAATGGCCTTATTATAGCATGATCCAGAAGACTTTGTGGCTGGTACAGTTTGGAGCTCCAGGAGCTACCCTTGCTTTCCTCTCTCTTGTACCTGGCGGTGCAGTAAGTTTAGGGTCCCTTGGTTTGGCTGTAATTTTCTGAGGCATTTGGGGTTAGAGATCTTTTCAGAATAACTGAGGGTGAATGTGTGGGTTCACACTTGTGGGTTTTGCCTCAGAGGTTTGGGGAGCATTGCTGTGGGCTCTGCTGTGGCTCTTAAGATGATCCCTGTTTTCAGGCACTTGTTTGGATGATAACATGACAGAGCCATGGTACAATGTTGCTGTGGAGTGTTTGCATCCAGCACTGCCTGGCAGCTTAACCAGACAACACTGTGGTAAACATCACATGTGGGAACTGGTCTGCTATCATCTAGGGAGGAAAATCCAGCCAAAGTAATCTCTAAGATAAACCCAAATGTCATAGCCTGACAGTCAAGGGACTGTGCTCATAGAAGTTCTGTATTCTGTCTGCCAAACCATCTAATGAGGACAACAATTATTTCCTCAGCTGCCAGGCTAAATCATCCACCGCTACAGCTGGTAATGACAAGTCCAGTGTGATTGTCTTATAGCAAAAGGGTCCTGCAGAGTACATACACAAAAATACTGGTTTAATTTCTTTTTGACAAAGGTTTCAGCATTATCTTGCTCTCCCCCCACTCCCACCGCCCCCAGGCTGCAGTCCTTCTGGGCCTGACATTTTTGGGGTTTATGAGTGGATTTGTAATGGAAGGATTGATTTATCAACTCCCTGCCTTGGGTGTTTCTGTGGACCCTTCACAGAGTCACGGCTCCAAACATTCATTCATTTCTCGCCATGAGTGAAAATGATGAGATTCAAAACAGTGGCCAAAACCTGAGCCAGAAGTGAAGGGAGACAGCAGAAAATGAGATCTCTCAAATTCACCACAGCACTACTTGGAGGATTTGTGTGCACCAGCAGTCCCTTTGGTACTGTTATCCTGCAGAGGGCATTAAAACTTCATCAAAGGGGAAAGTGGGCTGGAGCCTCATCCAGTCACTGCAGGCCCCAGCATCCTGAGACACACCAGCCCCAGTGGGGTGTGCTGTATTTAAATTGAACCACTCACTTAGAGCAGAGGCTAATGATGTGCTATTGAGCTAACTGGAGTTCTTTGTCTCTCTGTGTGCTCGCAGCAATTAAAAAGTAAAAATAGCTGAATACACTGCTGATTTGTCACAGCTCCAAACAGTTCTGTAATAACCCAGTTTCCTTCCATCAACCCAGCCCCAGAAGCCCAAGGCAATAAAGACAGGGTTTTAAAAATCAGTTTGATTATGTAGGATCAGACCTGCAGGAGTTAACTGCAGCTTCCACAGGGAAACATTGTTTAAATTTGAGGGAATACACCTCAGACTGAGGCCTGGGAACATTCCCTCTCCTGCTTTCTTACCTGTTAATTCCCTGCCATGGCCTTTTGACAAGGGGTGGGAGCCTTCTTCTGTGGGACTCCTTAACCCTCTCTCTATGCTGATGTGACCATGCTGGAAATCAGGGTTTTCCCAGACCCCTACCCGCTGTCTCTTTAATACCCTGAACTGCTGCTAGCCCAGCCAGCCAGCCCCAAAGCAGCTCTCCTGCTTCTGATCTTGTTCTTCCTTTTTCTGAAAACAAGAACAAATAAAAGGCATTGACCAATAGGACAGGCAATAACTATTGAAGCTGTCTGGGGCATCTGGAGCAAGGTTGTGTCACTAAGGGCAATCTGTTGTAATCTGATGTGATCAGAAGCTACAATTTATCTGAGCATGATGGGACTAAGGTAGTTCCATTGCAAGGCTCTACCAGTGTAGAGAAGCTTTGGACAACCTGGAATTTAGGAGTCAATTTGAGCCAGTGTCCAAGAGTCATCACAGTTTATATGCACGCAAATGAGGACATGACTGTAAGTTAACTTTATGGCCCCAAAGCTTGGCTAGTCATTTATGAAAAGTCTTTAACTGTCACTCATTACAATCGGATGCCTTCAGGAATGTAATTCTTGGAAGTAATTTTATCCTAAACAATTTAGTGACATCTAATGCTTGGCCTCAGGAGGGAGGAACCTATGCCATTTTTTTTAGATGCACAATATTAATTTATTAGCTCCTCTTGATGGCCTTTAATGTTTGCATCCCAGGCAAGTTAACCAGACAAGCACTGCAGACAGGGCTATCCCTTCAGACCCTGACCGCCACTGGCCGAGTAAAGCTACAGAAATACATGGTGGTGAAAACAGTGCTAGGATCGGACCAATGCTTAGTGCTGCCATGAACATACCGTACTCTACATAGCAGAAGGGCAATTGCAGCAGTCTGCCACCCACAGAGCCAAGTCAGCCGAGCAGTGTAGAGATTTCCAGTGAAAGCAAAGCTACATATAGATGTGGGGTTTGCTGCTACTCAATGACTGAACACGTCAAACATCAGCATTTCTGTCAGCGCCTAATATATTTCTGGTGTAAAGATAGAAGTTAAAGGTTGCTGCAGGACTAGGACTTTCAGCTCTCCCACCATTACCTATTGTCTCTTCCATCACCACTTTATTTTTTTTAATATATCTTGCAAAGTCCACATTTCTGGAATTAACTTGCTAGAGAGGACAAGCTGCATTGCAATGCAATAGAACAGCAGCATCTGGGCCTCTCAGAATGCCTCAGGCTTTGCACTAGGCAGCAGTAATTACCAAGTCACCATAACTTTTTGTCTTGCTGTTTCTCTGTCAAACTCTAAATAGGCTGTAACAGTTTATAAATAGACTGCACCTGGAATGTAACTTTTATAAAAGTAGCTATTTTCTTGCAGTTCTATGATGTCTTGCATGATCATATAATGCTAGTGATGGAGAAATTGAAATGATGAATTTTAGTATACGAATTTGAGCTGTCCAACCAAGTGTAGCAGGAAGAAAAGCATACATGATGTAAAGCAAAGTAAATCTGGCTTTTTGTGTTTTTCATAATCTGTGATATTTAAGTAATGTGAGTAAAGGCTTCTTCATTTTAAGCATGATTTATGTGCATATATATGTGTGTACAGAAAGTACATAATATATACTGTATAACAGCTCTGTTGATCACTGCAGACTGTTGCACAGGAAGGTGAAATGAGGACAAATTTGCCTGCAGCTCTCTGGCAGTCCCTCTGACAAGGCGACTGGACCACACCCTGCCAGCTCTCTGCTGCTGAGCTGTTCTTTGTCTGGAGATGCTATTATCATCACTGTTTTTCCCCATCATTCCCGAATTTTCTCCTGTGGCCAAAGAGGAAGTAACATGGATGGTAGCTTAGCTTGAGAGAGCCAAGTTCTCCTTTTCTTTCTATGGTTAAATAGGCTGGGATGTTTTTTCTCTTTCATTTTCCATTTCTGGGAAACCCATTAAAGCCTATCCCTCTGCTTTCCTAAGCTGCGTTTCTGATGATTCAGTGAAGCAGTACACGTCAAAGGACCATCTTGCCAAGCATTTCCAGGTTCCTGTGTTCAAGTTTGTGGGCAAAGACAACAAGGTAAGCTGAAAACACACCTCTGAGGTATTGCATCAGCTCTGATCTGACTGGGGAGTCTCAGCACAGGATTGGCTGTATTAAGAGTGCAAAGGAGAGGAGTGGCTGGCCCAAGGCACATGATGCTGAGCCTATTTCAGCCGTGTTGTCTTTCAGGACCCTGACACAGGTTCTTTAGGAAAGAGTGATAAAAACAGCTAAAATTAAATAAAGTATGAAGGACAGCTGGGGAATATTAATGCCATAACAGGCTGAACTCTTTGTTGTTTTCTGAGTAGTCTTACTGGACCACTTGTACACTGGGTGAGAAAAGTGTTCCCAAGCACTGTGTCCTATCTTTAAAACAAGACAGTCTATGGTTTTGAATCTCTTCAATCTTGTATCTTCTCTAGCTCTCATGAGTACAGGTGCCAGGTTTACAGATACAAGGCCACCGTACTGTTTAATTCAATATGAAACCAGGCTGTCAAGGCTGGTGGCGCTCTGAGGTAGAAGCTTTGTAGTGGGAGGACAGTTGAAGGATAATGCCATTTTCCTAATGTGAATAGCTTTTTAGTGCTAGAAAAAATCTAGTCTTACAGTCGCTGTTATGTTCAGCCAATGCTGCTTGCTCCAAAAGTCATAAAGCTGCCACTCCAGCTACTGGAGAGCCTCACTAGAGTTAAAATAGATGAGATCTTTCAAAATTCAGAGATTTTGCTTGGCTGGCTGATTGCCACTGCTGCTTCCAACCTGTGTCCTCCCAGCCTGTGTGATGGATTTTGCTTCAAACCTCACCATTGACCAAACATTCACAAATATTTGCTTCCCTGCTTGCTGCTTGCAGGGATCTTGCTTACTCTCCTTGTCATTTAGAAGGCAACGAGTAGCAATCCTGTCACGGTCTGACTTTACTGTGCAGAAAGAAAGGGCAGCTGTCTCCCTGCCCTTTGTTTCCCCTTCTCTTCTCAGCCACCAGTTTCAGCTCCTCATCAACTTGAGTTTTCTTCCTTTGCCCCTCAGTCTCGTAGTTTTATGTTTTCTCAGCTCATGTCAAATTCTCTTGCATCTTCCTATCAGTCCATTCTCTTGCATCTTCCTATCAGTCCATCTCCTTGTGAGGCCTGCTTCCTGCTATGCAGCTCCATGTAAGCTCTTCCAAGCTTATTCCTGGCATTTTCATCCCGTCTTTTGGAGGATCATTTCATGCCTTCACATTACCTGTCTAGCCCTTGGCTTTCAGACAGATGCCATACTCTGATCTCAGCCAGGCATTCTGGAAAACGTGTCTCTCCTGGGCGCATAAGAAAACAGATGGAGCAGCCAGTTTGGCTGTGGATGGCAATGGTGGATACAGTGGAACCTTGTTGATGTGGGGACAGAAATGGCTGCAACATGGGAATAGCATCACCCATGCTCTGTGAGAGCTGGCAGCAGTGCCAGGGTGATTCCCAGAGCTGTGTGTTGACTTGGCTTGCTGTCTCGCCACCCTCCAGGAGGTGTTCTTGCATTGCCGCATCCTTGTGTGCGGGGCGCTGGATGAGAGCTCTCGCTGCGCCCAGGGCTGCCGGAGACGGGCGCGCAGGTCAGCAGAGACAGAGGAAGAGGAGGAATCTGTTCACGTGGCAAACCACATCCTGACAGGTGGCCCCATCAGAATTGACTTTGATGACTAACACCGACCTACTGGAACAGCATCTCTGCTGAGAAGACTTTCCTTGTCAGGGCCTTCTTGCATGGTTGTTTAAGAAACAAGAAGTATTTGGTAAAGCCCTACTGAACCACTTAGGACATGTTTCCCTAAGCATGTGATGATTGTTTGTGAAGTATGTTGGGCACACAAGGCAGTGTGCCTAGACTGAGTGCAACCCAGACTGCAGAACAGTTTTACCTGCCATTTCTTCCCAACAACCCTTCAGATGAAGGGACCCTATTGCTTTTCAGGCCCGAAGCGTTACCCAGCTTGGTCTTTCCCTGCACTCACCTGCAGGCTCCAAAGGACTGTTTGTCCTTGACAATGATATTCAGGCCCTTCTGTCATCAGAAACAAACACTATCTGTCATAGCTGAACATGTTTGCTATGCAGTTTTGTGAATGACGTTGAAGCTTTGAATGTGCTGAGATTTTGGATGACCATTAAAAAGCATGTATAAAAATATTATATTTTGTAATGTCTAAGTTCCTTGGAGCTATAAAACAGTTGTCATTGCATGCACATTTAAATGTTATTTTTAAATAGTAAAAGGTATTTAATAGAACTTGATTTTTTTAGTGTCTTCTTAAATGCATGCAATTTAACAGTATTCCTCTTGTATTTAGTGTATTATTTTTCTCCCTCTTCTGCCCCAACCAAAACCATGGTCCCTTTCATAAGTGCTGTAGCACCTTGATTGTAAAAAAAAGATCATTAAACATCTCTTGTATTGTTTAGCACCTTGATTGTAAGAAAAACACCATTAAACAGCACCCCTAAGTGTGCCACTACCAACTCTTTTTGAAAGTTGTAATGCATTACCTTGGTCTAGAGAGGCTCTGGCCCTGACAAAGGGATTAGAGGAATGCACATTAAGTGTTTATAGCAATCACTTGTAACGTGCGTAGTTCTCAGGACAGGGTTGTCCCCAGTGAGCCTGGTGACAGGAGATACAGCAGCATTGTTTGAGTGACTGTGCACATTTGCAGTCTCCTGGTGGGTGAGAGCTGTTTATGGACACAATTACTGATGGTGGTGGCGGCATCATGGTTATTTGTCAGGAATCCCTCTGGGCTGTCAAGGTCGTTCCAAAGAAAACATAATGGATGATCAGCTTGGGCTCCTCTGGACTTCACTGAGGAACAGGAGTCCTGTGAAGGAAATAATGGGGTGAAAGGAAGGAGGTGCAGTGAGCAGTGAAGGACTAAGTAGGAAAGGCAGAACTGGAGGGTGAAAGAGGAAGGATCTGTGTCCACCACTGGCTGTGGCACCACACTGTGTTCGTGAGGTGTTCTCCAAGAAGCTTCACAGTGTGCAGTGTTCTCCCGTGCGTTTGGAGCTGTGCTGGGAGTGCCCCCCTAGTCTGCATCACCCGTTTTCTACTTTGGAAGCAGCCAAATTGCTGCCAGGGCCAAAATTTGTTGCTGCTCTCAAATTAACAAGGGATTCTGTTAGAAGGGAGTCACAAATCACCTCAGCAATACTGCATTTCACAGGTTTCTTTCTTTTGCTGAGTGAGATTCCAGTGAGGAATACAGTGATGGGCTGGGAGTTTAATGGTTTTTCTAAATAGCTTCATGGTTGCTTTTCCCGTTTGGGAATATGTGTGTGTGCATGTGTGTGTCTTAGAATAAATGGTAATGTTTCTACGATAAGTCAGTTTAAGTGGAAAGACACTTTTCATGTGCTATCTAGCCATATGTTAAAGAAAAAGAAATTAAAAAGCCGCCTCCTTGCATTGCTGTGCATCTCTCAGTTCTGCTGATTCACATCTGCATTAGGGCCACATGGTCAATTCCCCACTGTCATTTCTTTGTTCAGGCACCCCTTGCTAAATATACTTGTTTAGATTAAACAAGAGATGGAAAATGAAATTAATAAGCTGGTGCCTTCTGGAGAGGCAACTGGTGCTTTTTGTTTGTGTGAAAAGGACATGGGGGAGTGGTGGAGGAGAGATTAATTTCCTGGCTTATTTCAGTTATTGTGCACATTATTTCATTCTTCCTGACAGATTCATATGAAGCAGTCTTTCCGCTCTGCAGCTTTTTAGTTGAATAATCTGGAAGAGTAATAGGGAGGAAAAAATGGTCTGTGTGGCCATGTGAATGGAGCAGTCTGGGAAGGTGTTTAGTTTGCCCTGAAAGCAGGATAGTAGGTCTTCTGTCTGCCACTGGCCTGTGGCAATTCCTTCTCTGACACAGAAGTGATGGCTCCTAGGCACAAAACACCACCATTTCTCAAAGTCTTTTAGCTCTCCCCAGTTTGCTTCTTGCTTCCATCTGGTCTCTTTCTCAGCATTACAACCTGGACGTGATATCAAAGACCAAACTCATCTGCCAGCCAAGGCATTTGTCTGTTTAATCTCCCACACTACATAGTGGAAGCAAAACACACTGCACAAGCAGTCACTGCATGTGCAAGAAGGCAACATCTCCGACCAGACAGTTAAAGTCTGAGCTGCGTCAGTGCTGCCCGACACGTGCGGCTGGTGTTCTGGCATTGCCACCTCATTCTCTCTTAGGATGTAAAGCGAATGCTTGAACATTGGATGTCCAGAAGTATACACTCATTACCTGCCATCTTAGACCCTGCTTTTGTGTCCTCAGTGGATTGCTGTTTGTGGGAACCATTACTAGGAGAGGGCACACTGGATGAATGGTTGAACATCTGCAAGAGTTGCAAACCATCCTGCCAATGTACAAAGTCAACAGCCAGCCATCAGGTGAGCACAGTGTTGTCTTCCTGCTCAGAGGAGGGTGGAAGTGAAGATGATCCAAGGTTTGACTCTCAAGGTTTGTCCATTGACCTGGAGAGTCCTGTGATCAGCTGCTTCAGTGGCTGTACACCAACTGGGTAGCAGGAGCGATGTAGAGGGGAAGCAACTTTTAGTTTGGATGCGGAAGTTTTACTGTAGTTCATGTACTGTTTTCTCCTGTACAGGATTATCTGGTGGTTTTCTTGAGTCACTGCCTCCACTTGAAGTCTCTAAAGTTTTCTTGTAGAGCTGCTCATGGGGTTTTTCAGATTACCACAGTTCAATTTTGTTGTGAAAAATGCACTTATTCAGTAGCTGCCCTGTGTGCAGCAGTCTGTAGTGTTTGGGGATGAATGGTGGTCTGAAAGCATGAAGAAAATGATTTATATTAGTGGTGCCTCCAACGCATCAGTTGTTGGGATGGAGAGAATTTGTTCAGAAACCTTCAATTTCTCCAGTGTATGTCATCGTCTGCCATCAGTTCCTTGGCCTGGCTTTAATCTGATGTCACCTGAACTATAAAATGCCTTAAAAGACATTTGCCAGCCAGTTGGCTATTAACTGTAAACAAGATCAATTTTTTTAATGTTGTCATTTAATTCTAAGAGCATGCTCACATTTGAAACTGGCAATAGGCACCATTTCATCAGTCAAATACAAAGTTTGGGAAGTGTCTGGAACAAGGACCATTTCCTTCCCATCCGTAGCCAAAAATACACGTTTCTTAGACAGATAATCAAAATCGACTATCCAGCATCATGCTCTGACAGGCACACACTGCAATGAACCTTGGCAATACAGTGTTTGTTCTCCAGTGGCATTAGCACAGCAAGAAAAGGATGTCATTGCATATGACCAGTGCAAACCAAGGTTCTTCCTAATGGAAGACATTCCAGTACATCTCCTGTGGCCACTTTTGTTTTCCTGGTCTTAATACCAGTGGGCTCTTGTTGTTTCAGTCTGTCTGAGGCCAGATGAATATCTCAATGCTGTTCACTGTAAAGCAAAGATGACTGGCAAGAACAGGAATATGAGGCTTAAATAATTTATAGCTCCATGCATACATTTAAACCCAAACGAGAAGAAAATAACGAAGACAGACTCTTTCTATTCTTGTTAAATCACCCTTCTGGAGCCTTAACTTTTCCATGGCAGATGGAAGAACATAATCACAAATATGCTTGCAGAAGATGCCGAAGTATTTACGTGGCATGGCACGTGTGCCCAATAGCAACTTCCTCTCAACAAGAAACACAGATGAAAGCTGTCTGTAAATGTTATATGTAGATGAAGTTCCATATATCACTTTAAATTCTAATTTTGTATGCAATAAAAGCTCCCGATAGCAGATGGAAGTATTAACCACGTTTTAGAAAGAATGCTGTCTGAGATTGCTGGTAGCTCTGCAGCTGGCAGTGTCTGCCCCATAGAGCTACCATGTAAGCCTTGCCACCTGACAGGTAAGCCTCTGGGATTTTGAATGTCTCATCCAAGGCACCTGTGAGCCTCCTGTTTCCCTCATGCAAAAGATGGAGGTGCATACTCAGTCATTTCATGTAAAAAGAGATTCTAAGGGAAAAGCTTTGTTAAATGATATGGGAGGAAAATAATTAAATGGATCTGGATGACACTGCCAAAGAGAAGCAGCTTTCTCTTCTGAGACTGTGGGAGAGTGCTATGATTTCACACCTCAGACGCAATGGGCTTTGGTCCCCTTTTGCCCCAAAATGAATTGTGCCTGTATCACAAACACTTGAAGTTCTTCTCATGCTTACCAAATCTCCCTGGATGTTTTAAATCATTTTTGGATCCACCAAGTATTTAAATAAGCAGGGTTATCAGAGTGTGTAATGACAGGACGGAAAATGTCAGGGATGGGTGTGAGCAACATACTGAAGGTAAATTACCTCTCTTCAGTCTGTCACCAGTGGTGCAAAAATGTAAATAGCATGTCCATGGACTGGGATTTTTAGTGATTGCAGAAACCTAATGCTCTGAACTGCAAATTACAGAGTCAAGGTGGGGAGGAGAGCAGAAGACGGGGCTAATACACGTGTGTTTAAAGCAAATAAACAAGTCTCTTGTTTATAACCAGTGCTGCATCCTGCTTGTCTCTCCTGATCAGTCTGTAGACAAAATCAGATTATTCAGGCTGATGGACTTGGAAAGGGCTAGGGCTGTTAGACTGCATCTGTGGTGGACAGCAGGCATCACTACCCTATATTCATAGACTGTCTCCCCTTTCGCAGCTCTCTGACCAAAAACTGTAGTTGATGTGTATTGCTTGGCCCAGGTCCCCCCATCTCGTGCTGGGCCAGAAGGCTGATAGAAGTCACTGTGCTGAAGTGCGGTGGCACAGGGGATGCTTGGCAACAGGCTCATAGAGGCCAGGCATCTGCTTTTCTTCACAGTTCATCTCGTTCCTCCTCATTGCAAATGCAGGCGCTCCTTTGACTGTTCATGAAGGGCCGGCAGCCCAGGGTCCAGACGGCATTGAACACTGTGTCTGCGACAGACTCACAAGCTGCAGGGAAGGAAGAGATGAGGCAGGTAAGTAACAGGCACTTCGGGACATCTGAGGGATGGGTGGAAGCCACCCTAGCCTGAGCTCTGCACCGAGTTGTGTGCTGTTTACAGTTGGAAGCATGGGCTGTTGTCGTATCTCTGAGTATTGCAGATTTATAAATCCAGAGGCTCTATTCTGCTCAACTGGGGGCTCTTTTCTCCCTAGGGTGGCACCAGTCTGACACTAACTTCTTGCCTTCGTCAGGCTTTTCTGGTTGATGGATCATTTGGGGCACTGCAAATAACACTATTTAGCAAGCAGATTTCCAAGACGATCTCTACAATACTGTCTTTCCTGCTTCCCTCTCCCCTCAGTTTTCCCTATAGCTACTCCTAACCAGCCTTTTCTGCTTTTTGGGAGTTGCCAGCCAGCATGAAAATCCTACTCCAGTTGTAACAGTGGAGCCTGACTACTAGCCCCTCCTCTTCCAAAAAACAAGCCCAAAACTGCTTGTCAATAAATAAACAGGTTAATATGAAGTCTTTTAGAGTTTACTCGCTGGCAACCAACATTGATTGCTGTATGCATACGGGAAAGCCCTGCCTTTGGGGCTGTCTCCTGTCACCTCAGCCTCTCAGAGCACCTCGCTCTGCTCCTGCTGCTTAAGAAGCTTGCTCAGTTGGCAGGCATTGGAGAGCCTGTAGCAAGTCATGGGAAAACCAAGGCTTTGGTTAACTGGCACTGCTGCGGCTGGGATGTTTGCGCCCACATGAAGGGAGCGCAGATGCTGTTCCCCTGCCTGCTCTCTCTGTCCTAGTGACTCAGGGGAAAGGATCCCTGATAAGAGCTGGGATGGTGTTGGTGGAGGACTGTGTGACAGGAGCTGCTCATAGCAGCACTGAGGACAGGGAGTGGCAGGTACAGAGCAAGGGGAGGAGAGGATGGCTCAGAGGTTTGTTAGTTTGCAACTACCTGTGCTTCCTGACGCAACCAGGACAGAGATCATGGAAGTATTTAGTCCTACTTGGCTACAGGCAGAGGTAGCTTGGCTTAGCCAAGAAGTAAGGGCTCTGCTCCACCTTTACTCCCTAGTATTCCTGTTTCACTGCTGCAGGCAAAAAGGAAAAAGGAGGCATCTGAAAAATTTGCAGGGGAAAAAATCTGAAGAAATAGGAAGAGGTTGTCTGCACGAGGATTCGTGGACAGGGGTGACTGTGAAAGATTTGCTATACTTGGCCTGTAGCACTTATATCTTAGTCCATGTCTTTGTTTTCTCTTGCTGGCCTGGACACTGTTTCCAAACATTTATCTGTGATGAAGTAGAAAGCCATCTGCACTAGTATTCCTAGTCATGCAGCCTTACCTCTGTGCCCTAATCAGGCTGCACCTTTGGAAAACAAATGCAGATTTAACTATACCTTCCAGCAGGGCATCAGCAGTCGGGATCAGAGGAGCTGGCTGCAATTAGCTGTGAGAAACTGAGCAGCACCACCAGTTTTATTCAGCTTTGGGAATGGGCTGTTCTCAAGGGCTCTGCCAGTTTTTCAGACTAGAGATTTTATAAATATCTTCTACTGTTTCAGTGTCATCTACTGTTGGAAGGTCTTATCTCTGCGTGTCCAGCGTTACTGCCACACAGCCCCTCTGCAAGAGACAGATGGCTGCCTTACAGAGGATGGGGAAATGAAATGGCCTCAGGAGGAGCAGACTGGGGGAGGCTGGAGGCTTTCCTGCCATGGCTGACCTCTAATAGTGGAAAGGTCTATGTTTCCTCCTTGTCATACAGTGAAAAGGTGCTTGATGTTGACACAGGGGACCAAGAGGCAGGCTTGGACTCTTCGCACAGATTACAAAATGCAGTCTTTACCAAAAAGCTCTTCTCAAACTTGCAGTCTGAAGCTTTTAAAATTAGGCAAAACCAGGGTGGCTGCTGGCATGTCACTAGAAGTTTGTTGGTATGGGGGCTTCTGAGGAATCCAGCTCTGCCCACCATGGCTCAGCCACCACCCATGTCCCTGGTGCCATCGTCATCTCTTATCTGTGAACCAGATCCCAGAGAGCCTTTGTCCTTGGCTCTCCCAGTTTGTTGGCCCTTGGCCATGCAGGTTTCAGTGTGTGGTTTACTGGCTGTAGGAAGTTTTTTTGACCAGGCAAAGGTGTTTTAACTCTCAGGGAGAGCACCCAAGGGTTGAAGGAATTGCAGCTAGGTGTTTTTTGTTGCTGGGTTGTTGGTTTGTTTGTTTGTTTGTGGGTTGGTTTTTTTGGGGGGTGTGTGTGTGTTTGTTTGTTTGGGGCTTTTTCTTTCCACAGTCTTGGGGCAGAAGTGTGTGCGGAGGGAGCAGATCTCAGTGTTCTCACTCATCTCTGACCCACCTGTGACAAGTGCGGGGCAGACGTGCTGCTCCCTACTGCAGACTTTTGCTGCTTTCTCACAGAGAGAGCTCCATGCCCACACCCTCCCCTCCCTGGCATTGCTTCCTCCCTCCATAGTGGATGTGAGCCAGGAAGCCTACCTTCCACCTTGGAGACAAACCCAAGGCTGCGCTTAAGGTCGGAGCAAATGGAGTGGAGGCACCATCGGAACTTTGCATCGCAGCGGTATTTGTTGGCCCCACAGGTGTCGTAACAGATGTCCAGCTGGTTACAGCACTTGGTCATGGCAGGGATGCCCAAATCTAGCTGGGGAAAGAGAGGAAAGCAGTGTCCTTTGGCTGCATCCTGGCCTCAGAATCAAATAGCTCCTGCTGGGTGAGGTGTTGCAGAGCCCAGCTGGATCCTTTTCCAGAAACTGTCTCAGAGAGCTAGGGCAGCAGGAGGGACCACATGCTTACTCCCTCACCATCTAAAGTAAGTGGCAACAATAGTGCAGGTCCAGTACAGGGCAGACCACATTCCTTTCTCTCTCTTGCAGGTGATTAACCTCTGGTAGAGAGGTGGGAAACAGCCCCTCCATGAATTTGCTAGTTCTCATTTGTCAGAGTTCATTAGAGAGCTTCTTGTCCTTGCCAGCAGTGGCAAAGGCCCCTTTTCTCTTTCCTCCTTTTCCCACAATCTGAGAAGTCCTGCTTGTTGGCCTAATAAATCTGCTATAACTGTTATTAATGCCTTATTTCTCGGAGATACATGTATGAGGCCAAGGACAAATACAGCTTGACCAGGGGAGTTCTACTTGCTTGGAGGTAAACAGCAGCTTAGCTAATAACCATGGGGGTGATGGGGCAGAAGGCCTGTCTCCTGCAGAGGCTGGACTCATTAGCTCGTTATAAATTCTTCCTCTTTTTGGTCTTCTTCATGTAATATTTAGGAGATTGTTTCTTCATTGCACTCAGTGCTTGTGACTGCCTGCCTGCCTAAGGAGAAGGTACTGCAGAAATGCCCACAAGGTTTGCAGTGAAATGTAGTTTAGGAGTCTAATATTATATGAAGAATGGGATGCAAAAAGAGGGCTTTTTGGAGCAGGAATCTGCCTAATTGCTGCAGACTTCATGGGCAGCAGTAATGCATAAGGTAAATAATATTTCCTGCTCTTAGAGCCTTCTGGCAGTACTTTTCCTGGTGATTCTAATATGATTTCATTAATTGCTTTAAAAATAACAAGTGGGTGCAGTATTAAAGTCTGCAGGTTTATTTCATTGCTTGGCAAAGGCAAAAGCATAGGAGGGGGCTAAGGGCCAAGTGTAGAGAATGCCTTCAAGTATTGCTGTTTCTACATTATGCTGTGCCACTGAGCTGCCTGTCATGGAACGTGTTCCCTGTCCTATAGCAAGGGCACAGGATTGTTCAGGGCCTTGGTAAAAATATGTTCCTCTGCAGTAGTGCTCTGCTTGACCAGGTGCCCCCCTCTCATGGTGCTAGGCCGCTCAGGAAACTTTCTCTTTCGGCATCTACTGAGACAACCAGAGGAACAGTCCAGTCCTCTGTAAATACAACTCATGTCTTTGTGACTCCTGTTTCACTGCCACCAGCAGTTGAAATCTTAATGCCTCCCTGACTGACAGTTAGGCAGTGCTCAGACTGACATGTTTGCCTTGCTTCCTAACAGCAGACAGCTTTGTCTTGTGTCAGTCCCAGGCAGATAGCTTGTTCCCTGACACCACATAAGTGATACTTTCTCCCTTTTCCAGAGCCCTGGCTTCAGCTGTGAAAAGAAGCCGCCACATAGACACTGTGTAATGCAGCTAAGCCTTTTCCTGCCAAATATTACTGGTTACTGTGATTAGCGAATTGCATCATTTGGGGGTGGCAGGTGTGGCAGTACATACAGTTTCAGGTACCTTGAGCCCCAGAAAATTTGAGCTACAGCCGTTGGGTTCCTGTGGTTTGTAGTGAGGTCGCGGCATTGGAGCCTTCCCTAAGAAAGAAAGGAAAAATGTTAGGAAAGCCAATCTTTCAAGTAGCAGCACCAAAAAGTAGGAGTGACAGGCAGCTCCCCTTTGGTCTATATCCCCAAACACTTCACTCTCCCAGGAGATGCGAGGAGGAAAGGATAGGCACTAGATCTGGCTGACACCTGGGTTTCCCCTGTACTGTCCCTTGATGTGTGTTCAGGGCTTGTTCTGTTTCTGTCTCAGCTGGTTTTATAAAAGGGAGATCTCAGCGGCAGAGTGAGGTGTTAAGATATTTTGAGGTGCTCTGGGAAAAGCTTGCAAGCTGTGTGAATGCTCCAACAAAAACATGTGAGCTGAGCCTTTTGTAAGTCCATCACCTCTAGGGCTAAGCTTCTACTTCCCTGAGCACCACTACAGAATTTAAATAGACATAAAATAAATCTAATTTAGCCCTTGAGGCAGGATTAAGTTTTTTTAAAACTCCATTTCCACTGTTTTCTTCTTGTCAGCACTGACAATCATCTAAGATGCTTTTTCCTTTTTTCTGTCCAGGTACCCAAAATACCAGTGGTTAGCAGAGGCATAAATCTGCCATGTTCTTGAGAAGACCTCACAGACAAATGCATCAAAAAGTCTTGTGCAGTAATGTTCCTAGCACCTTCTAAATTAAAAATTGCCGGAGTGGTTTTCCTTGAACAAGAGATTTGCGACAAATGAGCAACAAACTGAAACAGCTGAGAGGCGCCAATGCTGTTTTCTTCAGCCCTACAGACATACAGTATGCACCAAGGATTTGGCTGCCCGCAAGCCAAGATAAAGCGCTCTAGCTGACACTGCCACCAGGCGATGGCATTTGTGTGGGAAGGTATGTCTCAGTACAGCAGTTACCTACACTGTTCTACCTTTCTGTCCACTTTTGAATAGATCAGAGCTGCTTCATTCTCCAAATGCAATTTTCTAGTGCAGAAAGCACTGTTATTTTGAGCAGGTAGAGCTGAGTTAACAGTAGACAAAGAGCACAAATCGGTTGCAGCACACCATCATTATGGGATTACTTTTGCACCAAAACATAACTCTGAGGTACATTGATGCAAGGTGACTTCTGAGTTTACTGACACGTTAAACATTACAGTCTTTTGGTGGTTATGCTATGGAGAGAAGGAGTTATGTCTATATATGGACTGAATCTATATCCCAAAGCTCCTAAGAAATGTAATGAGAGGAGGGCTGCCTGCAGGTCTTGGTGCAATTCACAGCCTAGTTGCTCTTTTGGAAGGGCATGAGAACTTGGACTCACAATTCAAATTTCCCAAACTGAGGTAGGAGGCAGAGGAAAGTTCAAAATCCAAGGTGGATTTTGCAGGACGGGTCAAATTTTAATTATTTGCTTGTAATATTGACAAATTATCTTTCTGCAGCACACTGTCAATTAACGGGATAAGGTGGCAAGTCAGCATAGGAGTGGAAGTGTTTGGGGATATGGAGATAATTGTTTCCACAGAAGACCTTCTATTAAGATGAAGGTACACCTATTAAATCTTAGAAAGCTGACCTAAGGAAAGGTGACATGAGAACTGTGATCAACAAAACATGAACTACCTTCCCAATGAGCCCTTGCTGGAAACCTGTCCTATTCCTCCCTGAAAAACAGTTTAATCATTTGTAAAGTGCCTTTTGGTGAACTCTTTCTCAGCTGCCCTTTGGTGAACTTTATCAGCTGAAGTCCAAGACACTAAAATTAACCTCTCTCCCACATCTTACTTTCTAGCTTAGCAGTAAAACAAAAGCAAAAAAACAACCAAAAAAAAACCCCCTTAAAAGGCTTCCCTGACTCTACATGACCATTCACTTTCTGCTCTTGTTATCATCTATTTCTTGCCCATCCTTATAGGCGCTTTTGTGATGGCGGTAGGGACTTTGTGGCTCACACTGGCTGTTTGCTAGCTGTGTTTCACCATGGATGACACCTGCTTGCTGCAGGTCATCACTGGGATGAAGAAGAGAGCTGCAAGCACAGCAGGACCTGCATGGCAGCACGCTGAAGAGCGATGCTGACGTGTAAAAGCACAGCTTTGCTGAGGAAGCCTGTTCTTTGCAAGGAGTTTTATTTCAGGGCATTTTCTTGTTGGCACAGCCTCAGAGGAGAACTGAAGTTGGGTTCCTAATGGAAGCAAGTTTCCCTGATGCGTTTTAATACCTTCAGGCTGTTGTAACTATGCCAAGAAACTGGAAAACAGCCAGCTGGCTGGAACAGCTGCTGGCCACGCAGGAGGTCTCAAGACACTGCAGTACTGGTACACTGGCAGGAGGAAGTGAATGTATTTCTGGATGAATAAATGGTCTTGGGGCTCCTTACTGTTTTGAGAGGCCTGTTGTTATTTCTCTGCTCCAGGCAAGCAGGCTTTGAGCAGACGTTGTCCTACGTAGCACAGCTGTGTTGGAGTGTCTGACTTTGAAGGCTCTTTTCTCACAGCCTGGGTGTGCCTCCTCATCTTAAGCCCCTCAGGACCAAATTCTGGGCAAGATGTTGAAGTCCTGCCTGGCCAGACAGCTGAAGGAAGCTATCAAGGGAGTTAGCCCCAGTTCAGGCTGTTTCCCACCCCAAGATGCCCAGAAAGATTTTGTAAGGGGGAGGTATTTGCCAGCAATTGCTAGTGTAATCCTAATGTCCTGATTTAATGGAGTAATCCATCAAGTTGTTTGTTTTCAGACCTCACTAGCTGCTGAAAAATCAAGAGAGTCTTACAGCCGAACAGCCAAGTGCTGTGTGCTCAGCTGAAGATAGATGTGGCAATCGCAGGTGAGTCCTGACCTTTATTTTGGCAATATAAGCTATTATTGGTGTCTCAGCTGAAATGAAAGAAAGTAGAAGGTGTAATTTTTGCTTCATGCCTGGGGAAAAAGCAGTGGATGGTAAAAAAGGTTTGTGTTCATTCTTCTGGGCACAGACTGGTTCTCACTGGTTTGGGATCACCCCTGCATCCCCTCCACTTGCAGCCTGCAATGTCTGAGCTAGAGACCAGCATGGATAATGGTCATGGAAGGGTTCAGCAAGACCTTACAAGCATTTGGGCAGAGTTTCGCTAGTTTCCTCCTTCAGGCAGTGATTAACAACTTGTTCAGCAGAGGATGAGAACAGCGCTAACGATGAGCTTGTTTGTTTTCCTTTCTAGTTAAAACATTTCCCCAGTAAGATGCAGGATGCTCTCAGGGAGCAGGCAGGCATTTTTGCCACCACCCTGTGGAGATGCTCTTCCCCCTGCCCAGAGTGCAGGGCCAGGGCAGCAGGGGCAGGGAGAGCCCCAGCCTCAGGATGTGCTTAGTGACCACTTCTCCAGGACTTGGTGAGTCCTGAGGCTCCCTGAACTGAGCTCTGATACCAGCCTTCCCAAACCTTGCCTCAGGTGCACAGCAGTCCCAGCCACCCTGTGTCCACTACAGGGTTTTCAGTCACTATGTTAAGAAGGGCAAGTCCCTTTCTGCTCCTGATTTGGAGCGTGGTGTGGATCTAAAGTAGGGTTATCACACAGAGCATGGGGCTGCCGTGCTGTGGGCCTGGGGATGAGCTGTCTGATGGGCAAATGGGCTCATCCTGTGTGCTGGAGCAACACTGTGGTGCGCACGGGGGGTCTTCTTCTCCAGACATTGTGCCTCTGGGGTGCACACTGCTGCCAGCGGGCCCCACAGAGCAGCTGTGGCCCTCCCGAGCTGCTGCAGAGGGGCAGCCCTGGCTGGGGGAATGCCATGGGGCCCCAGGCTGAGGGACCAGGGCTGCTGTGGGACTGAGGCACCTGACACCCTGCAGGTCTGTGAGGCTGAGGTGCCTGGCCCTGTTTCCTGTTAGCAGGGGCCCAGGGAGCAGAGCAGAACAAATATATACACATTATTTAAAAACAAAACATAACTCCCCCCCAAAAAAAAGAAAAAAGGTGGGGAAAAAAAACCCAAACCAAAACCCGAAACCAACTTGAAAGCTTGTTTTAAACTCTCTGTGACCTCATTTTGGCTAAGGGTGGCCCATCTGCCCTCTTGTCCTGACAGGCAGCTCATGTCCCAGCCCTGCAGCATCAGTTCCTCCCAGCACCCCTGCTCCTGGCCTGGGAGGGGCAGGAGATGCTTCCCTTGGCTGCATCTGTCCGGGCAGCAATACAGACAACCCCGTGCAGGCTGGAGACGTGCAGCGCAGCGTGCAGCTCACGTTCTGGAAGAAATGGGTTGCATATAGGCCGAAACTGAGTTGGTGGGATCTCTCCAAAGCATGGAGTCTTTGTCTGTGAAAACCAAAGGTCAGGGAACAGGGAAGGAGAGGGGCTGAAACCGCAAGCATCCTGCCCAGACAGTCTCTAGGGATGTGAGACGAAGCTGGGGGGAAAAGGGCTGGCAGGCTATTGTGGATGGGCAGGCTGAGTTGGCTGAAAACAGTTATTGCTGTGGGGACAGACATGGGGAGAGGACACAGTCTGTAGGAAGCCTCCTTCCTGTTCCCAAACAGGTCCTGCAGCACTTCTACACGCCCAGTCCCCTGTCCTGCCTGCACTCCTGCCCTGCTCTCCCCAGGATGTCACCCCTTCATCCTGCCCCCAGGACAAACTCTTCCTTTTTGGTAAATCATTTTAAAGTCCAAGGCAAGCGGTGGCTTCCTCGTTCTGCCTTGAGTACAGAAGGTTCCTCCGTGCTGACTGCAGGTCTCGGGTGCCTTCCTGTTACCTCCCCTCCTACAGCCCACTTATTAACCAACTTGCAGCTGTTGAACAACGACACTCTGAAGGTTGCTGAGACTAGGGCAATACCAACAATCCCTTCTGAGACAGGCCTGCACAGGCTGCTCGTCCTCCCCTCCAGGGCCTCACTGCCTGCCCTGGTGCTTCTCTCCAGCGGTCTGGGCAGCCCGGTCACCTGTATGCCCTTCCTGTAAAACCTGTGTCTTCTCTTCTTGTCCCCTTGCACACAACACAGTGATCAGGCTGTTCTCGGTGAGAGGGGAAGATGAGGGTTCAGTGCCCCGGTGCTGGCACTAGCAGAGAAGTTGTGACTCTGCAGAGACTTGCTGAGCAGAGCAAGGGTCAGGTCATGGACAGGAGCTGATGGTGGTCTTGGGGAAGGAGAGCACATGAGGGGGAAAGGGCAAGAAAAAGGAGCCAGCAGGAGCAGTGTTCACTTACCGTATCGGCACCTGTACTGGCATACTCCATTTTTTCCCCCAAGCAGTTCCAAGAAGGAGTCAAAGTAGCTGTTAACTGTTTCAAAGCTGTCCCGGATGGTCTCGATGCCCCAGTCTGAATAGGATGGCGCTGCCTGGGAAGCTCGGTGGACGGTGTTCACCTGTGTTGCTTCTTCTGTGCATTGCCCTAAGCCCAGCGTCAGGCACAGAACCGCTGCCTTGAAAAGCAGCCTCATGCTGCAGTCCAGATCCGGAGCCCAGAGCCCTTGTCCAGGCAGATACACGCAGGCAGGGAGGAGTGGGAGCGAGCCGTGGCATGCAGGAGGCAGGTAAGCACCCCTCTGCCCTGGACTTTGAACACTGCTGAGGGAGCCGGCATGAGGTCACCCCAGACAGAGTGCAAAGTGCACCCCGGGGATTTGGAACAAGTTCATCTTGCAGAGAAACACCAGGGAGAGAGTTTGCACAATCCCGCTGGAACAGGCTCAGCCCCTGTGGCACCAGGAGGGACTGCGGGCCTGCCTGCCCCGCCGAGGCACTGCATGGGCTGCCCCGCTCTCTCCCCAGCCTGTTGGGAGATGAAGAGTGTCTCTGTCCAAAATTTCTGCTGCTCAGGCAATGGCAGTAATGGACCAGCAGCAGACTGAGGAGCACCCGTTGCCTTTCTCCTAGGTCTCCTGGGCAGGTAATGGGGTGGGATGAGGCACCCACCCGGCGTAGCTGCTGTTGGGGACTGCACCTGGCAAACCTGAGGGACCACAGGGATGACACGTTGGTTGTGTGAAGGGGCCCAGGGCAGAAGAGGGTGGCAGAGCATGCCATGTCCTGCTCTGCTATGGTCAGAGGGTGCTGTCAGGCCTCATAGGGGTTGAATCAGCAGCTAAGGAGTAGTTTGGGTTTAGAAACACTGTATTCAGGGTGATCCCTTTGTGCGTCCCCCCCAGTTAAGGATCAGTGATGCAGGTGAGTACTGGCCTTTGATGGGACGCCTGGAGGCTGACGTTAGACGGCTGGTGGTTACAGCTTTGTGTAATGCTGGTGCTGCCGAATTAAATGTGTCGCATAGATGGCCCGCAGCACCAAAGCCCAAGGCAGGTAACGGGCCTGTGGGGGAGCTGCAGGTCCTGGCTGGGACTGGCCTGTCGGAACCTGGGGTCTGCGCAGCTGGTGGAGGCTTCAAACAAGTTACTCATTAAAAGAAACCAACCAAACGAACACCAACAGCAAAAGACAACACAAACCACTGATAAAGGACGGGGAAGGGAAGTGGCAAGGGAAGGCTCTGGCTGCTCATGAGAACCTTTTTGGATGTGCCTCAGCACAGCACTGCCTCTCAGAAGCAGCCACCGTGCAGCTGACGGGCAGATCGGCTGATCTCTGTGGGCCGCAGCAGCCAACTTCAGCAGCCATTTCTGTTTGTGTGGCCGGGCTGTTGAGTGGAGGCTTTCCAGAGGCAAGAGGAGCCGGGCAGTGGGACTTTCAAATACTTGCCAAACGTTAAGTGCGAATTCTGACATCTTACTGTTTTGCAGGAGGCTTGGCCCCGCTGTATCATCACTTCTGAGGCGCCAGAGGTGCGTGGCACCTGTCTGCCTGCATCCTTCTGCATATGGCTGTGCGTTATGTGCTCCAGACGTGGGTAAGGAGGAGGGAACACAGCCAGGTCTTGGTTTCTCAGACAGGTAAGTCAGGAAGTGGGGAACAGAAGCAAACAAGCTGTTTGGTCTTTTTCCTGTGAAATGGTGTGAAGCCAGAGCCAGCTGCTGCCTTCTTGCTTTACCTGGTCTGATGCCCATCACTGACTGTGTTCATGCTCCATGCCCCTCAGAAGGGGATGTGAGAGTTCTTCAGGTCAGCATCCAGAGGTGATTTGGTTGTACAGCCACAGCTGATACCTGTGTGGTGTCTCCCTGAATGCTGCTGGAGCTATGCACCACCGTCCCAGCCTGTGGGAGGAAGCTTGGATGAATCACCGGATGAAGGGGCATGTAAGGTGTGCAGGAGGTTCTGAGGAAACCTCAAACCTGCTTTGTTTTTTGGGAGATGAACACAAGGAGAGAGGGAGGCAGAGAGCATCGGGAAGGGAGGTTGGCAGTGTCCTTGCTGCAGATCAGGAGGTGTGGAGCACTGTAATGCCTGGTGATCATCAGGGTAATGTTTTGTGTTGAGCTAAAGGTGCCAGATTGCGGCTAGATTGTCCATTCCCTGGAGCCTGGGAACCAGCAAGTCGCTGCCTCTAGTGAGCCTTTCTTGAACAGGGTGTCAGTGGGGACACTTGTGAAGTGAGGGCTCCCCTGCAGGAGCACTTGACAGGACTAGAGAGCTCAGCCTGTCCTGCTGTTCAGACCATGCTGGGGACTGCTCTGTCAGTCTTGGTGGAAATGGGCTGCTGTCCCTGGAATTTGTTGTCAGGGAGACTCAGTAGAGGGAAAACCAGGTTCAACAGTCCCACACGTGTCTTGCAGTGAGTGGAGCTGTTGGTGGCTGTTGGCTGAATCACTGCTGTGTGTGACCTGCTGGTTTGCAGCCCCAGTGCTCCCTGCCCTTAGAAACGGCCTGGCAGGAATTAATGTAAAAAAGAGCAAACCAGCTATTCAGAATTAGCTTGGAAACATTGTGCAGAGCCCCTGGGGCAGCTGTGCTTGCTGCCGTGCTTTTATGTGGAGCCTTTTAGGGTTGCTCTGGAGGCAATGCCAGAACATGGCTTTCTTTGTCATCCCTTTTCCCTGGTGGCTGATCCATGTGCTGCTCAATGGGAGCAGAGAGGGGGAAAAATACCATCAGGACTGCAGAGGATGCAAAACACGGTGACTGTGGCATGAGCAGTCAGTGCTGTGCCACTGCCACGCAGGACATGCAGCCTGGAGGGGGTGGCCCTGGCTGGAGGGGGGAGCCTGGGCTGTTTGCAAAATCAATTGGAGTTAAATAGGAAATCTCATCAGGATGGGGGGAGCAGCTGGCAAAGTGCAGGGCCTGGGAAAAGGAGTTGGAAACTTTACTGCTAGTTCATCGCTTGTTGTCCTAAAGCGAAAATTTGTGAATAAGAAGGCAGCCTAACTGCTCTCCCCAAACTGGCTGCCCTTTTGCCCTACCCCAGGGATGAGCTGCTCTCCTTCCTTCCTCCTCCTTCCTTCCACCCCTCCCCACACCAGCCTCCAGAGACGTTTTCAGTCCAGCTGCAAATAGCTTGGTTGCACCCAGACATAAAGATCTGAAGACTGGGAAAAATGTAGGGTTGAGTAAAGCCAGCAAACGCCAAACACCACCTCCCCACACACACAGTTGCTGCAGGGAATTGCTGCCCAGGCTCAGCAGCAGCAGCAGAAGCGAGGGCTGCCTGAAGTGGTTGTGCGCAGCAGGTACCTGCAGGTCGTCTGCACTGCTTTGACGCACGATGGTTGAAAATACTCCCTCCCAATGCCGATTTTTCTCTCTCAAGATTTGAGAGACTCAGATTTTGCCTGCCACAATGGTGAACACTGACAACTGGTTTCTGAATCTCATCTTGACCTCAGGATAAGCAGCTCCTGACTCCACGCATTCATTTCTGACTCTGTAATGCTTAAATATAGAGCATCCCTCAGGCTGCAATGAGTCACTCACCCCTAGTGACACTATCAGACTGTTGGCAGCTGCTCCTGTCAAATAGGAGGTAGATCTACTACCTGGGGCAGATGCCCATCCCACAGTGGAATGTGCATGCCTGTGCCCCAGGTAGTGAACCCCTTCCTGGATGAAGCTGGGAACGCTCTTGGATTTGCATTATCAGCCATTCCAAAGCAAGCAGTGACCCAAGTGCTGATCCTGGCTTTGCCAGGATCCTTCCCTCTGTGTTCTGCTGGGGCCATGGGGTAGGACAGAGGATCTGAGCTCTTTTTCTTTAAGTTTTGGCCAGCTTAGTGAGTTGCTGGTTGATGTTTAAGCACAGCTTAAGTATGGGGAGCAGGCAGCTTGTGGTTAAGGTTAGTGGGTAATCTGTGATTGTTTCAAAGCCTGGTTTGGGAGCCGGATGACTCACTGGTTATCAGAACAAGAAATGCAGCTCGATGATGAAATGCCCAAGTCCCTCGCGGAGTCAGGTCAGAGTCCAGAGCTGGAGGAGGATGGGTGGAGGGCTAATGACCCTCTCCCTCAGCAGGGCTGCCCTCAAGTTTGTGCTCTGGTCCGGTTTCCAGGAGTCCCTGGACAGATCACTTCAGTGTTGTGCTGCCTCACCCTGTCTTTGGGTGCTGATACTGCCAGAGCTTTTACTTTGTCTTGTCCTGTCCTGAGGCGATTCACAGGCCTTTTTCCCTATCCCTACCCAGCCTTGTTTAGCTGCAGCTGCTGCAGTTCTTACCCACGCAGGATTCCTCCCATGGTTATGATCCTCCCAGGTTGTGCTTCAGGTACAGCTGTGCTGGAAAGAGCCCTGGATACCCAGGTAGAACAGGTAGGGAAGCCACAGTGTCTAAGTGTCTGATAGAGGTAGCAGAAGGCTGCACCACCATCCTTCCCTTCCTCCACGGGAGGGGGCAAAATCCACACAGGCCCCCCCTCTATATCCTGGGTAGGTGCCTCAGGCTGCATGCAGACAGTAGAGCAGCCCCTCTTGTTGCGGAAGTGGAGGAAGGCTGTGAGCTGCCTCTCGCCTCATGAGGCTCCTGTGCTAAAGCCCTTATGCTCTGGCTTGGCAATAGCAGGTTGCTGGCCAGGCTGGCAGCACAAGCCTCACAACCTTCTCACAAAGGGGCAGCCCTGCTGCAGCCATGAGAACGCGTTGTCCCTAGGCCATGGAGCCTGGGAGGCAGCCCACAGGCACCCCAGAAAGCTCAGAGGGTTGGAGCAAGCCCTGTCCTCCCAAAGGACAGAGCCATCTGGCTACTCGCATTCTCCCGGCATTGACCCACCTTGGTGAGGGTGCGCAGTTCAGCAGCAGGCACCGAGAAGCTGGGGATGGAATCAATTCACATTTCCAAAATGAAAATAAAACTGCTTGTATGCTTTAGACCGATTTCTTATCCCATGTCCCTGGGCTGCAAGGGAAAGGGAGTGCAGGTCCCTAACTGTAAGCCAAATGCTCCATCAGCAATGCACTTCCACAAGGCTTCCAACCAGCCCTTGCTGTGTCTTCTTGCAGGTTCCTGAGGTGACCACAAAAGAAGCACAAGCTCCCCTGTTCTGAAGCACAGAACAATCAATCACAGTGATATGACTGTGGACGCCTCAGTCACGGCAGACATCAGCCTGCCCTGCCTACATGTAAGTGCACCCTCTCCCTATCGCGCTGTTGGTGTCTGGGCTGTAGGACAGTCTTGTGATTCTTCCTCTCCTGTGAGCTGTTCAGTAGGTCATTCGGCCTGTTGGCTCCAGCAAGTATTTGTCACTGGAAAACACACTCAAATGTGCTGTGCCCATTTTGAGTTTCAAACCAGAAGCTCATGCAGTTCCTCCATCACTGTTAAATCCCACACCACCTACTGCCGTAAATCACTGCACCAGGGAGACAAAGGGGCTGAGCCATGTCCTGCCCCAAGAGCACTTCAGCTCCTGTTCATACATGTTGTGTGCTACATTCTTTCAGCCCAGCCTTACCTGCCCTTCCTCTTTGCAGCACATCAATGCTGTGTGTTTCCGACACGCAAAGTTTGGGTCCAAGAATGTGTCTCACAGCACTTTGTGTTGTGAGCATCTTTGGCACCTGCCCACCTAGGTGATGATGTGAAACAAATGAGCTCAGTAACCAGGAAAAACACGTGGTGATAAAAGTATGTCATCAGATTTACAACAGCCATATATGAGGAGAGTTTCATGTGGAAGGTTTTTCACTGCTACTGGCAGTGGCTTTTATTTTAAGCCCATTTTTTTACATTAAAAATTTAATTACAAAAAAATTCAACAGTAAGGCAGTTTCTCAGTTGTCACTGTGAGCCAGTTTTCAGTCATCTTTAATACAAAACTAGAGTCACACAGGAGCTATGCTCTTGGATCCAAAAGCCCTTTAAGAAGTGAAGGGGTAAGGGAGAAAGCAGCAGCTCCGCCTGTGTAATCCCTTACACGTTAGTGTTGGGTGTGCGACCACTGCTGCAGCGGAGAAGGAGGAAATAGGATTGTCTGCAGTTTAAAACCATTAAACTTACCCTTTGTCTTCCAATGGTCTGGCACATTTCAGTCTGACGTGCCGCAGCAGGCTGGAGTTCTAGTTTTGGGGAGTTTTATTTTTTTTTTAAACCAAGTGAAACTTCCCACTATCAGGACAAACTGTTTTGATTTTTTTCCCCCCAAAAAACTGCGGGCCAGTGAGGAGTTCACCGAGTTAAAAAAGTCACACACTAAAGGTTGGACTTGACGATCTTAAAGGTCTTTTGCAACCCAGCTGATTCTTTGATTCTAAACCATTTTTACTCCCCAAGTAATGCTTCCTAGAGCCCATTCCTAAAATGCTGTTTAAGACTGGAGGTACTGGCTGATGGCTGAGGTGAGGGAGGGAACCATTAGGCAAACTTCCGCAGACATTGTATAGCTTCTCTCAAGCTTTTCAGGTTGTAGTGCTGGTGAACAGAGATGGGAGGAAAAACCCCACTGCCTAATATAACAAACCTGTGATTTCTCAGTGGTTCAACTGTTCCTTTCTTCACTCAACATGTAGGAGGCCACAGTGTTTCTTTCACTACAGTAGCACCTAAGCAGTCACTGACACTTTTAGTTCAGTATTTCTCGCTTACCTCAGAAAATGCCATAATTTTTAATTATTTGTATGTGTCAAGTAACTCCTCTGCTCACTTTAGGAAGGACAGAAAAAAAAAGCTTTTCTGTGATGGCAAAACCAGAGGTTTTCTAAATGTGTTCACAGTGGTAATACATGGATTTTTTTTGTGCTCATTAACTTGCAGGACTGGCTTTCCTAAAAGCAGTTATAGACACCTCGGAGCTACAGAGTGAAAATGAGGGCCCTGAAGGTCAGACTCCCCACACCTCACTGTTTGCTCTACTATGCTCGTTGCAGGAAAGTGGCAGGACACACCTGCAGCTGTAGTTACCTTTGTTTGGAGCTTAAGTAAAAAAATATGGGGAAGAAGAAACCACAGACAGGAACAGAGATGAATGACACTGTGAAAGAGAAAATTCAGGGAAGTAGAAATGTTACAGGTTTGGGGTTTTTAACTGTTAGAATTCAGTGATCAAAATATGCTCTGATAACCCATTTCTCCAGCGAATCTATTTGTATAAGACTCTGCGCAGGTGTACCAGCTATTCTGAATACGAATGAGAAGTACAGACATGAGGTGGAACTACTTCTGATTTTAATTTTTGTTTTCTTAAGAGCTGGATGGACTGTTTCACACCTGCCAAAAGCACAGATGAAATGCAAGAAGGTGCAGGGCCAAGGATAAGCAGTTCCGTAGGTCCCATGCCTAACAGGCTCAGTAGAAATCTAACGACGTGTATTCCAGCAAAGATTTTAAAGTGTCTTCTCAAAGTATGCAGTTTCTCAAACTCTAGTACCTTAAACTGCATTCTCAGTATTCCCGAGGTATTTCTAACATGCTAACAGTTGGTTCCATCTACATTTTGGCTCAATTTTCAAGATTTTATTGAGGCAGAAAATCCAATTAACTAAAACTAGAATTTATTTCCTGGTAAAGACTTCAGGCGTGACCCCTAAATCAGCAAAACCATCATCAATCCAGAAACTATGACTGTTTAGGTATGTCTGGAGCAGCTCACTTGGGTTCTTATCCTCGTGCTAGTGGAATATTTAGACATTTTGCCAAAACCCCTGCTGTTGAAGAGGAAGGGCTTAGGAAAGCGAGCCTCCCTGCAGCCTCAACCCACCCTGCTTAGCTCTTCCCGTGCTGGGGGACAGCAAGGATGGCAGTTTTTGTTCCCACAGGAATCTGATGTGCAGAACAAAAGTTCAACAGCTGGAGCAGCCACAATCTAGCCTCCCTCAGAGGATGCAATTTCATCTCAGTGTAAGGATGACTCGTCACAAACTAATGTCCCCAGCAGCCACTGGGTGAGTTCTTCCAGTGAGGGCACTGTTCACTTTGGGGACACTCTTCCTGTGTGTGGGGCATGAATCAGAGGGGCTCCAGCCCTGGCTTGTGGGAAAAGCAGCAGTGAAGTGAGCAGTACCAGAGCCTCTGGAGGAGGCCCCTTCCCAGTGCTTCCTCACTCACATGTGCCAGTGACACATGAGGAGCATGGCTGCAGTGGAAGCAGCTTCCACAAGGTGAGCAATACCAAACCACCCAGAGCAGGCACCATCTCTGGCAGCCTATGCAAGCAGCTGCCTTGTGACTAAAGGCATGTCACTGCTGTGGCCCACATTCAGCATCCACAGCGGGAAAAACATTTGCAGAATAAAAAGCAACTAAAAAAGATCTAGGATTATAAATAGGGCCATACATTTCCCACAAAGCCTTGAGAACTGGGAAGATGAGTGTGGAAAGCATTGTATCCTATTCTGGGTGACTATGTGCTACCTCATCACCTGAAGTCTCATAACCAACTAAAAATTCCAGTGTGCTAAGGCACAACTATTTTGATTCATGAAGATGGTAATGTTCCCATCCCCACTGTGCAAGGAACAGATGTAAGGGTTGAGTGGACTATGAAGAATAAAAGCAGCATTTCTTTATGTGGACAAACATATAAAAAATAAAGAAAAAGAATGGAGGGAAGATGGGCTGAAATTGTCAGGCTGCTCTGATGCAGGCATGTGTTTGAGACAACACTGCTGAAGCATCTCACCTACATGTGTGCAACTGCCAAATTCCCTACAGAAGCTGAAAAGGAAGACAGTTTAAAAATTGGGGCTTTTGTGGAAGTGGAAAACTAGGCTAAAACATGGTAATAACCTGTTCCCTGGATAAACACAAACCATGCCCGCAGTTCTCAACAGCAGTGGTCAGGCACCCTAGAAAAGCAAGGAGTCAAATGTCTGGGAACTGAGGAATATAAGCTGGTTTAATTCAACCCTCCTTAAAAGGGAGCCCTCCCATTAAACCATCCCACCCTTAGCAGACTGACAGCTGTGAGAAGGACTCTGAGCAAAGAGTCACTTGCTTTCCATGCTGATCAGAGGGGTGCTGGTGAAGGGAACAGCACGCACAACACCACTGCTGGCTGTGGCCCTGATCTGTATTTTGTCTTTTTTTTTTCTTTTCTTGTTGTAACACTCATAGACCTTAATATATTCTGTTCATAAAACCTTAAGGGGGTATTTTAAGGGAACTAAAAGCATATTTGTTTTGTCCACAGATGAAACACCGGTGTAGTTGAAGACTGAACCTGTAGTGGAGTGTTAGTCAATTGTAAACTGTAGATGTGTGCATTTTACACAGACTGAATACAGAAGAGACAAAGGACAAGTCTGCATCATTCCAATTCTGATAAAGTGCATGGCCTTCGGAATTCCTGTCCCCGCTCATGGAGCCATTTATTGGATACTGCAAAGACATAAAGGTATTTGATCACTGCACCTGGTTAGCTTGTGCTTCTATTTAGGCTAAATATATGCTATTGCCAGCTTTCAGTTCAGCACAGGATTATCTTAATTTTCCTATATAAACACACACAAATGTGAAGTTGGTCTAATAAATCCAAGACAGAAAAAACCTTCCCAATAAATCCAAGATGGAAAAAACCTTCCAGTAGCTGCAAAACTACAAAAGACTACTAAAGTAGATATAGCATTACGTATTTTACATAATAACAGAAAACACTGCTATATAATGTATCATACATCTAACATAGAGATATGAAGGAGACATAGCTACAAAATAGAGTTCTTTATAAAAAACTATTCTATGATTCTATAAAGGACCTAATTTCTGGCTGCTTTTTATTCCAACACGGAGTGCGGAGCAAAAAGAAAACCAAGACAACCCACCAACAAAGCCCCAGACCTCCAGGCTGTTCTGTGGCACAAAGAACAACATGACTGCTACTTACCCCACTTGTTTCCAACTAGTACTGGGCAGGCCGCATGCCGCGTGCTGTAATCTCCTTCTCCGCTTGGAAAGAGATTGTACCAGAATACAGCTGTTCCCTGAGAATTGCAGTGGAAACCCTCAGCATTTTGCTCTTCATGATACATACTTTCACGCTAACTCACTTAACAATAAGGCAAAGATGTGTATCTGTAGTTCAGACAATTCCTTTTAAACTGAAGGCTCTTTTCCATCATTTACTTTCCTAAGGAATGAGTCTCCTTTAACTCATTCTGCGTCTATATGTTCTTAGGTTGTTATTTTTAATCAAACCCTAAACCGGTTTCATTCAACTCTAACTGCTTTTATAAAGCAAGATGAGCAGCAGGCCAGCAAAGACAGACCTTATTAGGGACCCTTCTGAGGGGAAATAAACTTAACGTGAACTCACAGCTTCAGGGAGAATTCCCTACAGATGCCTCAAGACTAAACCTGCTTACAGATCTGAGTATCGTCATGTTTTGCAAAGCCTATATACATTAGAAGCAGTTAAGTCCAAAACATAACGATGCATTAAACAGGCAGAACAGCAGAGGCCCTTGGAATCACCAGTACTACTCTAGTTGCTCCACTTAAGTACCTCTGTGCTTCCATGAACAGGGCTCTAATCTTTTCATAAACTCATTGTAAAGCTTCTTTTTAAATGTTTGTACATCTGTTATATTTTCGAGTAGGTGGAGAGCGAGAAGTGGTTACACTGGATAAAAAAACCCTGCTTACCTTTTTAGGCCAAACACTAGCTCCTACTTCAGGAAAGACAGTAGCTCCCCCTGCTGACACATCGCTCATCTGAAAAGGTGGGAAAAAGCACTGGTAAGTTGCAAGCTGACACATTCTCACATTTTAGTAAATCAGAATTAGGTTACTAAACAACTTAATTTCTACCTCCCAGTTAGTGAACAAAGGCTGCACGATTAACGGCCTTGAAAAAGGCTGAAACCCACCTACTCTGTTCCAATGCAAGAGTCAGCCTTGTCCCGAATGTTACACACTCAAGTGCTTTGGCAATGAGCATGCTACAAATACTGATGCAGATACAAAAATGAATAGACAGTCAAATAATTTAAGCTGATGCTGAACTTCGAGGTGGAAAAGCCTCCTTAAGAATATATGGAAGAGCTATTATGTATGGGTAAGAAGATATCCTGTATGTGTCATCATTAAGATAGTGACTGCCCTCATTTGCAAGTCACTTCAGTAAAAAAACGTAACAAATCATTCAGTGGTATAAAATAGGCAGTGATAGATTTTTTTTTGGCACTGGCACATGGCAGAAATATATCACTTACATAAAACAACCAAGTAGCAATTCTGTTGCCTGTTCCCAATTCCTTAAAAGCATCTGGCTCATCTTTCTGTGAATAAAAGCAGATTTAGTAAGCATTTCATCTTGATTCTTGAGAGGAGCCAATGACACACAGCTGCAGAGCCAGCAGCAGACAAACTTATGCAGAAAAATTAATTCAATCCCTCTATTTGGAAGGAGGGGAGAATACAGTATGTATCTATTAATTTAAGTAAACTAGTTATTTTAAAATTCTGTAGGACAGGGAGGGCATAAGCTCAAATTGCTAATGGTAAGTAACAACTCTATTGTCTGAGTATATAAATCCTCTTCACAGCCACAAACTTATTTAATTACACTCACTTATCACCTCTTGTCCTTGGCCAAGATGAATGTGGGCAGCCCTTCAGTCCCACATTCACTGAGAATTGTGCTACAGCAGAGCTCTGCTGCAGGGGTGGCTCCAGGCATACCCTGAGGGCAGCTGCCAACCCTGCTCCTTTAGGGGGTGGCTCTGCCTTTGTGGCACTCACCCCCTTTCCTGCTCCTGCCTTTCTGATCTGTGCCAGACAGGCTGCTGCTCACCCAGCTGGCCTTCTGCATTCTGCGCTCCTCCCAGACACACAAAGGCATTTTAGAATGCTGTTAAAAATCCACTGAGTGATGCATTAAGCAGTGTGCTGCTCCCGCCTCAGGGTGTCTGTGGCAGCTGTTCCTGAAGCTTTTGACAGTAGTAAGGTATGTCCCTGCCTAAACGCATGAGAACATGCGTGATGTGGCTGCGACACCACCAGCCCAGCGCTGTGCTCAGAGGGAGGTCTCCTCCTCATCATCACACTCCAGCAGGTGCAAGTTATTGTTGCTCTTTCATTAGGTCTGGGAAAGAGGGACGAAGCTGAGTGTGCCTCAGCAGAGCTTGTAACTAGCCAAGAGAGCCTTCTGGTAATTAAGAGGGTTTTTCACTTAATTTACAAGAACAAAACCCAATTTTGATGGGTTGTGACATCAACTTTTGCCACACCTCTATTTTTACTTCTAGAACCCATCCTCTGTGACCACTATTTGAGTTTGCTAAAATTCCAGCAATCATTACTCCAGAAATTAACCCATGCATTTCCAAGCAAAAACTGTTAATCATTTGCAATGCTTTCGAGCATGTGCTTATAGAGCAGAGATTCTGATTAATAGTTGGTGGCTTGGATTCACAGTGTAAGGTTAATCTGAAGGTGTTAAATCACACATAAGTATGCCCAATAAATAACCAACTGAATTCAGTGGCATTATTTCCAGCAGTCTGCATTTTAAGCTGGAACTGAAATAGGTTGGAAATTTAAATAAAATAAATAAAAACTAAGGATAGTGAGATGAGAAGAACTTGGTAGGCTTCTTCCAGTTTCAGGCCTCTGCTAGCAATCAACATGTGAACTACACTAACAGAGCACTTGTATTTTCAAAATCTCTTCAAGAGTAGCTGTCTCAGCTCTGGGGAAAGAAGTTCTCTCTCAACGTTGCAGGCCTATACAGTAAGCGACAATGAAAGTCTTCCTACACTGCCTACAAAGCCTTTCTCATAGATGAGGGCATTATAAGCTCTCACCCAGTTTAGCTGTCTATCCTTCAGTGATTTTAAACAACATGGCTTTAAATGGCCAGTGCCTTGGTCAGCTAGAATACTTCTAAACGTTTCCTCAGATTTAGAACAAAGCTAATGCCCTTTGCTCTCTTAAGAACTATCAGTCATCTCTTTAGAATAATTATTCTGAATTATATTTTTGAAGAAAAACCTTGTTGCTTTGTGATGCTCAAATGTTTATGGGTTCAGCTGGTGGTTTAGAGGGCTTTCTCTACTAACAGAGATTAGAAAAGTTTAAGAGCTACAAGATTCAATACACATTAAAGAATAATAACTGTGCCACAGCCAAAAGGCTGGGTTCACCAGGTGACTATCTCTCCTCCATCTCTTTACTTGCCCGTGCAAAGTCAAAGTGGGGTTCATACTGTCCTCCCACTCCATAATTTGCCACCTGAAAAAGAGAAACACAGGACTTGTGAAGAAGAAAGAGGTGGAGACAGAAAATAGGACTTACCCTTCCAAAATCAAAATGAGGCTCATACTGGCCTCCTACTCCGTAGTTGGCTACCTACAGTGAAAGGAGAAGCACAAAATCTAGTAAAGCTGTATTTATCCAGACAATAATTTGACCATCATCTACAACCTTTTGACAGATGAAGTTTAAAAATCAAGCCACAGGAAACTGCTAATTGCTGTCAGCTAAACTGTCCTGTGTACAGCAAAATCCTACTAGATTTATTCACAAATTGCTCTGACTTCACCCAGAAGGAACCTGACTCTGAGCTTTAGTGTTTCAGCCCTTCAGTCCACCTTTGAAGTTCTCAGCTGAATACCAACTCCCAGCAAAGCCACAGCTCAAACTTGCCCTTCCCTAGGGAGTCACCTTTCCTTAAAGCTCTCCTGTTCACCCCCAGCTGAACTGGTAAAGACATTCCCCCATTTCCGAGTGCCTTCTACTGTCTGATCTAATGACTTCCAGGTCACAGAACCTGACCATGAAACTCCTGAAGACCTAGACCAGCCACAGCTTCCAAGGAGCCCCAACATGTCTGGCTACAAAAGCAGCAGCACATCCAAAACTGGCACTGCAAGATGGAGTATGATCCAGGTAGGGAATCTGTGGTACTTTCCAAGCGTACAAAAATGCTTTCCTTCTATAGAAACTTCACAGAGTCTATACTCTTCAAAATAGGTCATGGTACTTTATAAAGTTGAAATCACTTTTTGATGTCTTTCAATAAAGAGGATTCACTGTATGATTTTGTTTGTTGTTTTTTTTAAAATCTCAATTTTCATCCAGATGCTTGGGCATTTCCTGATGGAGTAGCACAGTAGCACAACAGCTTTCAGGAACCACTTTCTAGGTGTCCTGCTTTCTAGGTATTCATGTTTCCTCAGAATGAGTGAAGCAGCTATTCATTTAAAAGCTTCAAACAAATGAATAAACGCAAGTATTTCTAAAATAAAATTTACTTATAGTACAGTCAGTCTTTCCCACATTACAGAGACACCAGACAACACTGACCTTCTAGGACCAAGGATGGGATGGCAAATCTAAACACCCATTCTCTCCCCCTTTCCAGAAGTACCAGACAAGCTAAACTTTTATTATCACCACAGCAGTAGTAACAGCAATAAAATTCACTTTTACTAGCATAAATAAAAAGGAATTACACATCCACTTCAACAAACATCAGGAGTTTCAGTTATTACTGTTTTCCTCCAGTAACAGAAAGCCATTCACACTCGAGTAAGCAGGGCTCTGCAAAGACAACTTTGTTTCTTCCTCCCTGAAAAAAAGTCACACATTCCTCCCATGGCCTCAATTCACACTAGCCATGACACCAGCTGCCTATGGGCTGAATGAGCTTTTGTGGCCACCTCACCTGAGTGAGCATGGCGCTGCACACAAAGCCAACCAAAATGAAATGCCAATTGGCATTTGCCACCATACTTGCCCTAACAGTTTACCTGTAGTTCCTCTGCTGTGGAGACATCAAGTCCTGTTAGGTCCTGTATCCTTGTGTTAATGCGAGATACCACAGGGCTTTCATATCCAGACAACCACGCACTAAGTAGGAGGGGAAAAAAACCGATTAATAAATAATGGTAGCAACTGGCAGTAAGGTAGCAGCACAAAAGCAACATTTGTAATTACCTGGAATTTGAGATTATGATGATCAGAAATATGTCCAGGGCATTATAAAGGCCTGCATTCAATAAACATGTTTTCTAGAAAAAACATTTATAGCTCTTGTTTAGTGAAACTCTAAAACTAAGTGCCTTAATTCCCATACTGGACTATCAAACGGCTGACAAGAACATTCCAACCAGTGAAATCTGCTTGAAGCTGTTTTAGAAAAAAAACCCCTAAGTTTAGCTCTTACCCTTTCCAAACACCTAATTTAGACCGCATATTGGATGCATTTTGAAGCAACGCTTGAGAGAAGAATAGGTGAGTTACTTTATTTAGTGTATGCTTAGTCTACATGATTGTAACTTGGCTCTTGCACGTCATACACTTACAGGCCAAGTGCACTGTTATCTGTCCTTTCACGTTACTTACCTGTGCAAGGACAGTAAAAATCATTATGAAAACAATTAAATATTTAAATAATGCATAAAATTATTCACCATTTAACCTGTTGAACAAATTTGGTATTTAGCCCCGAATTTTTACTAATATAAATGTGAAAGGTCAGCCTCACAGTGCCAAAGGCATCTTCAAAATGCCTGCCTCCTACTGTATATTGGAACTTCTCAGCTTGAAATACTACATTTAAAATAACTGGCAAATGACTTAGCAGAGAAAGGTATGCATATCTAGAGCAACAGTTTTACACAAAAATCACTGCCGTCACCCAGACCCAGCGCGGCATTTTCTGCTTTATGTGGCTGCTCATTCTTGAAAGCTGCGTGAGTGAGAAAGGCGTGCAGCAAGCTCACTGC